TTCGGTATAATTTCAGTTGAAACGCCTGCTACGCGTTGATAAATGGCTAGCTGAGGTTCTCCGAATGGAGCCGGGGTGGGCAAGCGAAGGGAGAGCAGCTTAAAGAAATCACGTTAACGGGGTCACTTTGAGTTATTGCCGGGAGCGAGGGTTCGTGTGTGTAGTAAGCCTCCTCTGCTATACTGATTTAGATCCATAAATCATAGCCTTGCACCCTCTTAACTTGGCTTGTCCTCACTATCAACAAATATTTTATGTGCCAAAATCCCGCATTGACAAAACCGTATCTTCCCATGCGAATTATACCTCAAGTTGAAGTTGAGCCATTTATTATTAACTTATTCACGCTTCATGAATAGTTTCATTTAAGTAGATAAGAGTGGGTATGTACTATTAGTCGGTACACAAAAAAAAGGAGTAGGTAACAAAAACAACAAACCCACCACTGAAGTGGGCGAGATTTCGAAACACGTCTGACAGACCAAAGCAGTGCAGATATAGGCAGACCATAAAAACAGCCAAACTATATAACGAACAGAGCTTATAAATATATTCTAGGATTAACATAAATGTTGAGATTTTTTTATTATTTAAAATTTGTCAATCTGACGGAATTAGAACCCTCGGCTGTATATTTGTATGTTTGGTTGAACTATCTCTCTATCACCCCTATGACTTCAACAGAATCTCAACGGTTGTCTAGGTGCCACTCCTTTAAAAGAAGTGCTACAAAATCCAGGCTGATTCCAGTGACAAAGGACATATTCCGAGGATTTCTATGCCTCTTCTGGCAGAGTCGGCAAGTAACAAAATCCAAACGTTGCCCTTCTTGACTGAGTCAGCTACAACAATCTAGGCTTTGCTCATTTTTTAAATTTGTATTTCAACAGACAATGAGCCAAGAGGCTTCAAAGTCGTAAATGACTATTTTTCTGCTCCTTATTGACATTCAACTATCAAAATCTTATCTTTGTTCATTTTTTAGATTATATTTCAATGGAAAATGGGAGATGAGGCGTCAAAGTCATAAATGAAATGAAAATCATCATTTATGACTTTGATATAAATGATGATTTCACTGCTTCTTCCTGGCAGAATCAATTATCAAAATCTTATCTTTGTTCAATTTTTAGTTTGTATTTCAATGGACAATGGGAGATGAGGCTTCGAAGTCATAAATGACGATTTCTCTGCTTCTTCTTGGCAGAATCAATTATCAAAATCTTATCTTTGTTCATTTTTTAGATTGTATTTCAATGGAAATGGGAGATGAGGCTTCACAGTCATAAATGACGATTATTCTGCTTCTTTATGATAGAGTCTGACTATTAATGTTTTGCCTATTTTTTCATGTCGTGTTTGAATGTGCACAAAAGAAGCGTTGTGTTTCAAAGGGATAAATGAAGATTTCTCTGCTCCTTCTTGACAGAGTCAACTCATAAAATCTAGGCTTTGCTCGTTTTTTATTTCAATAGGCAATGGGAGGTGAGGCTTCAAAGCCATAAATTACGATTTCTCTGCTCCCTCTTGTCAGAGTCAATTATCAAAATCTCATGTTTATTCATTGTTTGTAGAATGTGTTTCGATGTGCAATTGGGCAAGATGCTTCAAAGTCATACATGACGATTTTTCTGCTTCTTTATGGCACAGTCAGACTATCAATGCTTTGCCCATTTTTTCATGTGTTATTTGAACGTGCACAAAGGAAGCGTCGTGATGGTACAAAGAAAAATACTTTAACAGAGAAATCAAAACAAAAAAAATGATTTAATCTTGTGAAATGGACCAGCAGAAAACAGTTTTAAATTTGAGGATGAGTTATACGCCAAATTCAGCAACTGTTTACTTCATAAATTAACCATTTCTACAAGTTGATAATTTCAACAAGAAACTGAAAAAACGCATTGGGCTTTGATATTCATATGATTTTTATAGAATTAACGAAAATAGGCGACATACTTAAATCCGAATGTAAGCTAGATCAGAATTGTATTTTTTCTCAAAATAATAGTAATATGTTAAATGTTTGATCTTGTTTACATTATTTTATAAAAATAACATTTTCTGTATGATAGAATTTTTTTCCTTTAATTAAAATTTTGAGGTAGGCAAGGTGAATATACGTTAGTCAATACATATAAAGATGAGTAATATGATGAAATGTGCCGGGGCTATATTACACAATAATATTACGATTTGTTCATCACTTGCCACAAAAGTGCAGAAGGAAGGGATCTGGGCAATAAATCAAACGGAAGGCGAACCCCCCTGGAGAGCGAGGGACAGTTAAAAAATATCGTCTGCGCCTGGGCCCGAAGGCCGTAATGTAAGGGCATCTGGGGAAAGACGGGAGGCCGACGGAAAACAGAAGGAAAGAAGAAAGAAAGATTTACCCTGATTTCCCAGTGACAAAATGAAACAAGGCAAGAAACGAAGGGGGGCCTGATGTTCGCCATACATCACAGTGTCACACATTGCATGCAAATACGACAACTGTCGCGCTTCACATATCACTGGAGACATAATCAGGCCATTGTGAATTTCACAACACCTCAAATATTCTACGGAAAAAACTGGAAAAAAATAACTCACTGCGATCTCACGCTAAACTGAAAAACCCTTTAGTTATAACAAAGTCATAAAAATAAACTAAAACTCACTAATTGAGCAAGAAATATGTTCTCGACGATATCGTCCTCAACAGGACAAAATGTTGGGACTGAGTCGGTCTTCAAAGAAATTTGAAAGCACCTATTAAAAAATTAATTTGCAGACATATGTAAGATTGTTTTGCCCTGGTAATGACCTTAAAATATTTCGAAAGCTTGGCACTAACAACTGATTTTTTTCAGACCGAACCGAGATCAAGATTGTTTCTCAAAAATGGTTCTTCAGCCTCCTCACAAGGCTATAGTACTGATTCAAAACTACTACCTTCTTCTCTACCCAAAGCCTAAAATAACTGACAAGGTTTCCTCGTCCCTTCCTATAAATCCTACCACTCTTTGGAAAAGTATCTGACAAGCTAAACCCCCCCAATCCTGCCCACAACCAACATTATTCCAGACCACCGATTTGGCTACCGTAATTACTCTACAATCTACCCAATTCATCGTGTTGTTGACGACATGGCAACATCCTTAGCCCTGGAGTCTTTACAAACGTCTCCTAAGCGTTCTACCGGGAAACAGCTTCTGCTGCTGAAACTCTAATCCTTCCTTTTTAGTACAAGATATCTTATTTTAAAATCATACCTATCTGACATTTCTTCCATGTAACCCAACCTCTTCATTCAGTTCCTCAAGGGAGCATCCTAGGACCGTTACTTTTAAGCATATACACGACAGACTTCCTTCAACACCCTTAGTGACTACACAGAAATCCTCTCTGCAAACCAATATCCTGTCCTAGCAGTTCGATCCCTTCAAAACCTCCTTACCATAGAACCATGGTTAAGTGGAGAATAAAAATAAATGAAAAAAAAAATCCCAATACGTGTCCTTTAATATCAATAATCAATAACCTGCAAAAAACTCTTTGTTTATCTGAATCAAATTCAGCACACAAAAACTGCTAGACTTACTTTAACAAAAAAGACTACACAGCTCTTCAATGGACTTGTGAACTGGAAATGGACTGGAAGGCTAAAAAATCAAACCTTAACTGAATCCAATCCAAAATAAACCAAGATGGAGGAAGCAGGTGTAAACATAGAATTACAACAAATTTCTTGACAAAGCATTCTTTACAATCATCTGAAGAAAAATGTGACAAATGAATATGAATAAATGTGTAGATTCTTCAATCTCCCAGAGATCCTAATTCTTCTGCAGACGGACTTACCTCCAAATTACAAATTGTTTTGGAAACCTAACCCACAGCCAAAAGTAAGTAGTACAATAATCAACTATATGAATTAAAACCACAGGTATTATATAAGTACAGAATGGAGAATAGAAAGTTTAAAAGGAATAAGGAAATCTATAATCTAAATAAAGACGAGCAAGAAAGAAAAAACAAAATTCACAAAAAAAATTATTATAGGGGTTCATAAGAGAGTGGCACAGCTCGAACAGAATGCAGTTGCGGTTGCTCAAGCGAAGAGTTAATGTCCAACGAGGACCTACTAACACACAGAAGAAAGAACAAATATTTCTTCTAGCCTAAGTATCACAGTGAGAGTCCCTCGAGTTCCCTCAACCCTTCCTAAAGATCCCATACCAACTTCTTACCACAGTCATTCACTCGGCCAATGAGGCCCAAAATTAAAAGTTCAGCTTTTGCAAGTCATGCTCAACCCATTACCTAAAAAATTGTAATTGTTTTTATGTTCAAAATAAGCGCAATGTTGTAAAAAAATTTAGATCTGGTTTTGTACAACCTTGTCTATTACAGTAATATACTAATGATATTAAAAGAAATTTTATGCAATGTTCTAAATTTGTCAAGCTACCTGAGGATGCTTTAAAATTCATTTGCCCTAAATGTTTTTCAACTTCTAAGGCTTTCTGGATCTTCGTCGAGAGTTCCCTAGCAGCTGTGCGATACAATGAAGATGTTATCAGAAGAAGTTTTTCTTTATAAATTGTGACGGTTTTATTTTTATGCATGAAAATGCCAGGCCTCCACACTATCCGAGCTATCGTTGGTGACTACTTGGAACGGGCTTCAATTCAATGTTTGAAGTGGCCAGCATGATGTCCCAACTTAAACCCTACCGAACATCTTTCAGCCAAGTTGTCAGGGGGTAAAAAAGTCACCCAGTTTTGCCAGAGAATTTGCAGGAATGGCGCTGTTGGAGGAGTATAAAAATATTCCACAGTATTGCAACACAAAATTGATGCCATGTCGAATGAAAGTGGTAAACACAAGAGGAAACACTCCTTACTGAATTGAATATTTTCTTTATTGTTTCCATAGCAACATTTTTGGCATAACTGATTACTCAATTTAATTTTTTATTTACTATATGTTATGTTTTATCTTTAAAAATATACACTATACAACAAAAAATAACAATTATAACGATTGCAAATATTTACACCAGAGAATCAGAATTCGTCCGTTCAAGAGAGGTATCCACTTTTAAAGTTAAGGGAAGTTTCACTGTTCTTCAAGCTTCAGTAACCACTTGGGTGATTAAAAAGGACCAAGTCTTTTTGATTGCAAACTTAGTTAAAGAGGCTTTTTGTTTCAAATGATTCATCCACTGCAATCTGGGGATGAGAGCAACACTAAGAATTTATACTCATTTCATCACCTTTATTCCCCCCCTCCTTTTATAATACCAATGGTCCGAACACTTAAAACTACAACCTCTTCTGAATGCTATAACTTTAAACTTTTCAGATTCACTGTTAAATTTCATTGGTTGCAGAAAGCTTCGAATAATTGTATGCTGTTTTGTACACCATTAGCAATGTTTGCCATTATATTTATATTGACCTTGTAATGTAGAATTTTTATTCTAACTTTGCTTATTCCTACACCACACTCAAGAACAGATGAAAAGTCACTGAGAAACAGAGCAAACAAAATTGGGCTTAAAAAGCAACCTTGCCTTACTCCACAATGAACTTTGAAATATTCTGATTTTGTGTTTATATGTTTTTATAACTATATCAAACACATCAAGTAGAATTTTTTTCTAACTTTGCTTATTCTTACAACCCACTCAAGAACAGATGAAAGGTAACTGACGAACAGGGCAAACAAAGTTGGGCTTATAAGCAACCTTGCCTTACTCCACAACAACTTTAAAATATTCTGATTTTGTGTTTATAGTTTACCATAAGAAAATGTATGTAAATTATTTTGGAATTTATATTCAGACAATTAAATTGTTTTTCTCATAATGTTATAGATTAACCAGGAAAAATGTTAAATTGTTTTTGTCTCATGCAGATGTAAGAATGATTTTACCTTACGAATCTCCTCCAAGGCTTTAAAAATTCAGAGACGGACACAACATGAAAAGTCCCTGCAGAGAGTTTCGGCCGATTTCTCCTAAAAAGAAGACCAGGGAGAAGTTCTTTCTGGCTAAGCGCTTGCTGTTTGTACAAATCCTTGATCGCTTGGCCCTCGGAAGCTAAGCTCTATAACATTAATATTAATTGGGAAAAAAAGACCCAAAGTTGCCAGGAAATTTTACTCACTTGGCACTGGCTACAAATTTCGGCATCTTTTTGAAACTCCCTGGCAGAGGGGAAATAGACTTTGAATTTTTCCCAGGCAGCTTGTGGTATTAACCGTCTACTGTTGGTTTCATGCACCAACTTATCTAAAATATTTTGTAATGTAATAAAACAATTATCATCAAATGTTATAAAATATACAATACCATGAACACAAATTATATCTTCATTGAATTCCTCGTTGAAGTCATCTTGTTCATCAGCCTTCATTTGTTTTTCTTCATCCCCACTCTCACCATCTTCTTTCATATCAGCATCATCACGTTTCCTTTTCGCTCCTTTTACAGTACCGTTGGAATGTTTGTAATTTTCACATAAATTTACATTTGAATTTCCATTATTTGTTTCCTTCCTAAAAAATTTCACATTTTTCTCATATATGTTGTTTAACTGTTCACCAAAATAAATCCATTCTGAATACAAAGACTTCAAATCTGATAAAAATTCTTGTGATACTGTCCCTGTAATCAACTCATTCCACCACTTTGATTTTACATTTGAAACAATGTTTTCTATCGAAAGTAGAACTGTGATAGAATCATTTTCATCACAATGTGAAACTGATGAGTGTTGATCTTGAGATTCTCTTGAATTTTCACAACAAGAACATAACTCGTTATGGTCACATGTGTTTACTGACCGCACGACAGGCGAATCTACTGTTGCTTTAGTATCACTATTCACAATCATGTCTACATCAAAATTTGAAGGGCTCAGGCAATGTTCATTTTCATTGTATAACTTTTCTGTTTGTTCTTCTCGGTCAGACGTGAAGATCTGGACTGCTTTTCTCCTCCATGATTTCAAAGATCGCTTTCCAACCCAAAATCCTTGAGTATACCTAAACAGTTTCACCAATTTATAAAAACTACAATTGCAACAAACAGTTGAACTCATTTTAAAATGTAGTGGTTTTTTTTTTAACTTACACAATTTGCTGAACATTTGCAAAGTATAAAACAAAAATATGTATAATTAAAATTGTTTATGAATTTCAAATACAACAATAAGAAAATAAAAATATAATAATCAGCAATCTATAGTTGCACACAAACCCTGTTTTTTTGTTTTTTTAGATGCAGTTTCATAAAACATACAAAAGATTTATGTCCTCACCTAACTTACAATATGGCTTGAAAAAGTTTAAATCAATCTAAATACAATTTTTATTTCATGAATAAATATTACATTAATTTCTACTTGTGATAATTCATTTATACATCCATACAATATAAGACATCAATAACAATAAAAAAGACTAATTTAGTGCTCATTAGCTTACATACATATATTCAGCAAAAAGTGTCAAATGCAGTTTGCTTTTATTAACTTTTGTTGTTAACAAAAAATTAAAAATTTGTTTGGACATTAAATATGTCAACACAGCATTTACTGGTTGAATTATTAGCAATTATGCAGTGGTTGAAGTAGTGAAAAAGGAAGAAAACACCTTTTTCTGGTATAATCTAACCTGCCACTCCTCACTACTTCAACCACTTATTGAACCACACACATTATGCAATTTGAATTTATGTTGTAAATGTTTTTTTTATTCATAAACAAAACTTACAATTCTTCCTTTTGTTTGAGAAGGCTTGTGATCTCTTTGGCGTCCTCGGCGATCTTATACCTAAATCTAATGCCCTTACATTTAGTCAGCACACAGTCTTTGCAGAGAGAGTCCACTGCTATAAGCCTAGGGCCACCAGAATATTTCTCGAACAAAATGTTTCCCTGAAAAAACAAAAAGTTCATATCATGGGGTGGATTTTAAAATTTAAATTCTAGAACGTTTTCCTTGCTAGCCCTAAGGAATAGATGGATGGGGTGACAGTGGTCATCTGTTGAGTGCTAGTGCTCAATCATGCCCCAAAGAGGAAAACCGTTCTTGGTGTACAAAACTACCCATGTTTTTAAAACATTTGATGCAAAAGTCAATCCAAATTGACAAAATGCTTGGTGTTACTCTCAGAATTCCAAAAACTTTGTTCTCCTTCTTCTGTCATATTCAAATTGACTTCTTGGTAGAGATTCCAATGTATTGCGGTAGCCTAAGTAAATCATTTCATCGCAGATTACTTCTTGACCAAGCTTGTGATATTCGAAATTTATTCTTTAATAATGACAGGTCACCTACTCAGTAGGGAGAAAAAGGTACATTTCCCACAACTCATAGTAGTCATAGGAACAAAACAGAAGAATAGTCTGTCCACTAAACAACGAAAATCAAGAAGTTATGTAATGTGTGAAGGTTGTCACAGACACAGTTCAACCACCATAAAAAAAAATTATCGATCAGCAGTTGTTAATATTCTATATCAGGGATGTCCAAATTATTTCATGATAAGTTCCAAAATCGTCAATCTATATCCACATAGAATATGTTAGAAGAAAGCAAGCCCAGTGTTGATAATGAGTAAGGATGTAGTTATCAACTAGCAGTTGTTAATTCTAGAGATGGATCAGATATGCTCCACAGGGAGGTTTAACGGCCAACTGCCAGTTGGTGTTGTGGACAGGGAATTTTACAATACCTTTTAAATATTATATACAATTAAAATTTCATGTGCTGTGCTGGGATTTGAACTCGGAACCACTATCTTGGCAAATACAAATCACCTTAACCACTCAGCCATTATGGTCCCGATTAATGACCAAATTACCTTAATTAACTCACCACCACTTTCATAAATGGTATCATTACATTTACAAAAATCATATAATACAGTGTAAGCTGGTCCTAGCATAAGTTAAGAATAGTGTTAAAAAAGTTTAAAATAGTTCAAGTTAAATTATTTATTTATTTTATTAAGTTTAATAAGTGAAAAATAAGGAATTTGAAACGTACATTGTAAATAAGGCAGTAAATCCAACCTACTCAGTAGGGAGGTAAAGGAACATTTCCCACAAGTCAAAATAGTCATAGGAACGCAACAGAAAAATACTCTGTCCAGTAAACAATGAAAATAAAGGAGTTATTTAGTGTGGGAAGGTTGTCAATTATATTAAATTAATTTGAGGTTAGCCAGGTGGGCGCCAGACACTCTTCACTGGAAGTCCATCAATATGGGACGAGGAGGCTGTGTAATTGTAACTCCTGATTACTAGTTATTGCTAGGCCAACCCTTACAAAATGAACCATCTTGACAAACAGTTTTTGCTTTGCCTTTCCTCTCCTACCCTAGTTGAGAAAACAGTATAAAATTGGAAAAGCAAAGTCAGTCCATCAGCAGCTCACAGAGTCAAGCAGCCAGACTTAGTCGGGGATTCAGTCATAGGACTCAACTTGTTGTGACAATTCAAATTGAGTCGACTATCCAGAATCCAGGGAGGTGTGGGAAAAAATCCCTGGAAGACACTGAAGGATATGGAAAATGGTGTTGGCAAGCATTGTTTAGGGTAAGCTCATACCCATAATTAGAGTTGTGGCTGACTTCCTTGGATTGTTTGACTTTTAGTTTGTTTACTACAATGCTAATTGTAAGATGGGCCAGCATAACAATAAATGTTTATAAATACTATCTCTTTGGCTTGTTGTCTTTTTGGAACCCTACCTTCCCTCCTCTAATTGCTTAGCTATCCGCACATAAAGCATCAGCCCCTCTTTACAATAGTACGGCATTAAAGTAATACAAATAACACTGGAAGACCGCCAGAAATATATTTAAATAACATTTAGAAACATTTTAAATTTTTTTTAAATATACAAAAGACAAGACAGAATAGAACCTAGGCCTGTAACATAATTTAAAAAAAAAACCTTGTCACACCTAATATCCAAACGTTAACATTTTCAGCACGATCTCCGAACAATCATAATCAGCAGGATTAACGGGGATCCCCGTCATTTGTTTTATTGTTGAAAGTAACTGTAAGAGCACCGTAGGTCACAATTGTTTACCTTTCGGGTCTCAGTGTTTCACTAGAGTTTGTGGAAGAGCATAGCATCAGCCATTTTTTATATAAATCTAAACCCTACATCAAGATAAGTTTATTGAAAATTTGAGTAAGTAAATTCTACCTTTTATTATTTTCTTTTATTGTTTACATTTAAAATTAACTTATGGCATACAATATTAATTTTCGTAAAACAACTTTTAACTAAAAAATTGTAAGCTTTAGAAAAGTTTTTAGATTTTAGAGCTTCAAAATGCCACAAAAACCTGAAGTGGAAAAAGTACTAAATTATAGTATATAATGTATATTTATTCACATATTTTTTGTATGTGTTTAAATTGTTTAATTTAAAAAATTTAATTAATATTTCAGGCATATAAGGACTATTCTTCTGCAAGTGTATCCCAAAATTTTTCTGGAAAATAAAATTTGTATTTTTCAATTGAGTTTTATGGAAAATACAATATTAAATTAAATTTAGTTTTAGGCTCATTAAATTACTGTTTTCTTATTAACAATTTAAAATAAATAGTTTACTAAATACAGTGAAGATAATTTAATTATTCTTTTTAATTATTATTAGTAAAAATAATTTAAAATTTATTCACAAAATATAACTTAATTCAAGTATTAGATTGTGGTTCTTTGAATAAATTACACCCCCCTCCCTCAATTTACGCAAATATCCATTCCAAGCAGATCTGATTTATGTGAAATCGAGTAAAGCTAACCAATGTCCCAATTCTGACTGTACAATATTGTCAATTTTAAAACATAGGAAATATGTATGTAACATCGTGTAACATTCAGGTAAATTTGCCACATAAAACAAATACTTGTGAATAAAAAGTGTCACATTAATTGAGGAATGGGTGGAATTTTATTTGTAAATAATTACGATATAATTTAGTGGAAATTTTACTGTAAAATAAAATGTGTATTTTTTAATTTATTTTCATAGAAAATTGTATGCAATGTTAAATTAAGTTTTGTTTCTCACCTATTGTTTCAATTTTATTTTACATTACTAGCTCCCATTTTGCTGTTAAATTAATTAGTAATAAACTAAAATCCTGTATAATGTAATGTACGAGGGTAACATTCTCATTTAAAGGGCCATTAGAAATTTCCAGTTTTAAAAATATAAACAAAAATAAAAAAATATCGTAAAAACAACATGCCAGGGAGGGGCCAAAGGCCAGAGTTAGAGGGGCTTTCAAAGAAAGAACAAGATTAGTCTTCGAAAGTGTCAGGCTGAAACCACCGGCTGAAAAAGGCTATGCTAAAATTTGATAAATTATCGGGTTGTCCGGAAAATAATGCAGGATTTTAAGTTTTCATTAAAAAAAATCTATATAAAATATTCTGTTTACGTTTACAGGATTACTCATTTGTATGAATGTCAACACTTATTAATCCTCTTCCAAATGATATTGTTTGTTTACCTCTGTAGCATTCCGCTACTTGGAAATAATTCAGTCATCCTTATAATGTCAAAGCGAGAATTTCGTACGATTTTCTTTTACGAGTTTAAACTCGGCCGAAGCGGAGCCCAAACGGCTAGAAACATTAACCAAGTCTGGGGCGAGGGTTGTGTTAATGAGTGCACTGTGCAAAGGTGGTTTAAAAAATTTCGGGAGGGAGATTTCAGCCTTGAAGATGAAGAAGGTCGTGGAAGGCCTTCCTCTCTTAATGATGATGTTCTGCGATCAGTGGTGGAAGAAAACCCCAAAACAACTGTTCGAGAACTTGCAGAGCAACTCAAAGTCAGTAAAACGACCGTCGCTGACCACCTCAAGGCGATTGGAAAAGTGAAAAAACTCGAAAATTGGGTTCCACACTCATTAAACGATCGCCAAAAAAATCAGCGCTTTGATGTTTGTGCATCACTTCTTTGTCGAAACAAAAATGACCCATTTCTGGCCAGAATTGTTACATGTGACGAAAAGTGGATTCTCTACGATAACACTAGACGTTCTGGACAGTGGCTCGACAAAGGAGAAGCTCCAAAGCCCCCAACTCATCAAAAAAAGGTAATGGTTACGGTATGGTGGGCTTCATTTGGTTTAATACACTACAGCTTCTTAAATCCTGGCGAAACCATCAATGCTGAATCATACTGTAACCAAATTAATACCATGCATCAGAAATTGGCAGTAATGAAGCCCTCTTTGGTCAATCGGAAAGGGCCCATTTTGTTGCATGACAACGCTCGACCACATGTGTCACGTGTAACGTCACAAAAATTATTGGAGCTTGGCTATGAAACTTTGCCTCACCCACCCTACTCTCCGGACCTCTCGCCTACTGACTACCATTTTTTTAGACACCTGGACCACTACTTACAACACATAATATTCAAAAATCAAACGGAACTGGAAAATGCATTTATTGACTTTATCAATTCTAAAAATTCTGAATTCTACTCAGACGGAATTAATAAGTTACCAACACGTTGGGAGAAATGTATTGAGAGTATGGGAAATTATTTTGATTAAAGAACATTGCTTTAAAGTAACTAGTTTCTTTTTTTTTCTTTAATACCAAAATCCTGCATTATTTTCCGGACAACCCAATAGTTGTTTAAAAAAAATTGTCCCAGCCCCCACAGGGTGAGCCCCTTTCTATTATTATCATTTTGTATGGCTTTATTTTGTAATTTTAATGAATAATTAATTGATTTAATAAATTTAATTTTTAGATTTTATAAGAAAGAATGTAATTTTGTTTGATTGGAAATTCTTTGAATATCAATAAATTATTTTGTATTGTTTTATATCTCTAGAAAATAATTATAATAAAAGTTTATTTTATATTTTTTGTCATTTCCACGGCATGACATAAGTATTGCTTACAGGGGCTGAATAGGCAACCAGGTGAACAAAAATTGTTCACAAGGTCGGATAACAGGGATTTCTGTCATATTATCAGAAATAAGCTAGAAAAAAATTTTGAATATTTTTTTCAGTTAATTATCTTATTTGAAACACTAGAAATTAAAACAAAAAAAAAGTGCCTTCAGGAAATTACTGTTTCAAAAAATTAGACACTTTCCAGAGAGAAATGGCAATATGGCCGCTGTGCTGAAAGTGTTAATTAAATGTACATATTCCCTCAACACATAATTTGAATATATGTAAATCAAAAATTTATTATTTTTCCTTACTGTTTCTCTGTTGATATATTTAGCACTAGTAACACAGTTTGGATTTAATTTGTTGTGGCTGCACACTATTTTAGTGTTGTCAATGGGCTGGACAGGAGCGGTGACGTTTCCAAGCCATTGGACCAACCAAGAAGACGGGATTATCTCCCACTTTTCAAAGTCAGTCGTCTGTTCCACCGGAAGCGAATAGAGTAGTGACACAATTTCACCCCTGAGTGCCTTGGTCCCACACCTTTCCATTTTCTACAAGAAACAAAAGCAAGTTCATAACAAAAATTTGTTTTGAAATGGATTTTATTTGATTTTACAGACCTTTCTTTCTTTAGCATCCAGGATGAGTTGTTCGAAATATCTATTACACACTTCAATCTGTTTTCTTAAATGGCTTTGTAAATTGGCCTCGGTTATAATTTTATTTGCTTCTTGACATCCGGCCGCTGTGTAAACAAGCATGTAAGCATTGCTTGAAGCAAGAAGGCCTTTCGCCAATCGTGGTTGTTTCACCTTTTTACTGCCTTCTAAAAATTAGTCCTACCTTGTAACCAGTTGTTAAATTAACATTCCTTGGCAAAAAAATTATACCTTCATCATCATCATTTGCACCCAATTTCAACTTTTTTCCTTCCATTTTCTCGACATGTTCATCATTGAACTTATACCATGTACCAGATGTCTGATCGCATATGTGAGCTTTAAATGAAATAAGTTAGAAACAGAGTTTTAAAATATTGTTTTAAGTCATAATTACCTATATAATGCCCAGAATAAGCACTAGGGCCTTTGTGAATTAACACAGCAGAAAGATTATATAAAACAGGCACTTTTTCTTTATCTGGTGGGTTAAGGTAAGGACTCATGTCTAAAGAATCTGGAAACTGAATGCAGGTATTCAGCTTCTTTTTATGCCCTTTTTGTCTGCACAAATTACCAATGCGAGTGAATAAACTTGATGAATTAAATCAACATTGATATTTAAAAAATACCTGTCATAGATAAACCTCATGAGTTGAAGGTTCAGTACTGGAGGTAGCTTGTCGAGCCGAATAAATCGGGAAGCCTCTTGTTTATCCTGGCAATACCGACAGCTGTACATATTCGTCCCATCGAGGTACTCTTCCTTGAGAAATTCTTGAAGGCTTTCATGAAGGGTTTTATTCCCTTTTACATTTAACTCTAGTTCATAAAACATTGAGGGGCTCACTGATTCTTTCATGCAATTAGAACACCTAAAAAAAAATTTACGGCAATTGATTTTTGTTTTATTCAAGTTAAAATGTTCATTACGGCCGTTGTTTTGGAATGACGCACTAAACCCTTCCCCATATATGGACATTGTTCTAGAACTATGCACCTCTTCTGGAAAAACCTCCTTTTGAAACTTGTTGTAGGGTATTGTGGCTAGCAAATTTAGCTTTGGCTATCCCGTTCGTTATGTGAGGACCAAAATGAAGTCTTCTGTTCAGGGTTAACCCCAGATAGGTTACCTTTTCAGACCATGGGATGACAGTTCTACATGTTTATCGTTTCTCTTATAACAGGGATCTTTGTAGTATCATTTCACGTTTTGATATGTTAATCATTAATTTCCACCAATTTTTTGACAAAAATGACTAGTTTTTTTTCTGTTCAGTCTATTGCAATAGCATTTGTTCTCCAGGACTTTTTTTTTAAGATGCTTATTTTATTTATTGCTATCTGTACATAATATACATTGAGCAAATAGTTAGTTATAAACAAATCTGACAGACCTGTCACACCAGGAGGCAGTAAGGAAAGAAACCAACTTTTATTTAATTGGGGGGAGGGAGTTAAAGTTAATTTGTGGGTTAGATAGAAGGTCACGAGGCCATTGTCGTTTTAAACAGCGTGGAGGATTGTAAGGGTGAGATGTTGAGGAAAGAGTTAGGGCTAGTGAGTTAGGGTGGAGGGAGAGTTTAGAGTGAAAAGTGAAGAAGCGTGTTTGGATAAGATCTTTGACGAAAGGGATTTTAAGATCTTTAAGGATCGTTTGATTTGTGACATAGAAGGGAGCACTGAGGATACGGCGGAGAACTTTAGATTGAAAAGACTGAATTCGTTGGATATTGGATGATTTGGCCGAGCCCCACAGCTCGACTCCGTAGGTCCAAACAGGTCTGATGAGTGTTTTGTAGGCGGTTAGTTTGTTATTTATGCTTCGTTTTGATTTTGGTCCAAGAAGGTGTCGGAGTAGTCCATATCTTTTGTTAAGTTCTTGCCGTTTTAATTGTGTATGTGGGTTCCAAGTAAGTCTATTATATAAATAAAGCCCACGGTAGTGGACTTGGTTCGATGGTGGTATTATTTTGTTGTAAATGTGCACTGGTGGACAGGTTTGTCATTTGAGCGTAAATATAACGTGTTGGCTTTTTTGTTCATTTAACCTGATCTGCCACAGATTGCACCAGTTGGTAATAAGGTTCAGGTGTTGTTGGAGTGCTTCTGTTGCTAGGATAGGATTGGAGTATGTTTATAAGATTGCGGTATCGTCCTCGTAGGTTGTGATTTGTGTGTTTGGATGTGTGGGTATGTCAGCAGTGTAGATGGTGTAGAGGATTGGGCCTAGGATACTTCCTTGCGGAACGCCAGCTTTGATTGGTGGGATAGATGAAAAATCGGTGCCGATTCTTACTTTAAACCATCGATCTGAGAGGAAGGATTTCACGATAAGGTAGTAGGAATGAGGGAGGATACATTTTAATTTATAGAGGAGGCCGGGGTGCCATACTCGGTCAAATGCTTCTGTAACGTCCAGAAATACGGCTGAGCAGTATTGTTTGTTTTCTAGAGTCGAAGATATCGTGTCGACTACTCTGAAGCACTGATGAACAGTGAAATGGAGAGTTCGAAACCCAAATTGATGATTAGGAATTACGTTTTGAGAGTCAAATATAGGAATTAGTCTTTTAAGGAGGATACATGCAAAGATTTTGGATAAAATAGGAAGGAGGCTTATTGGTCTATAAGAGGATGGGGCACTGGGAGGTTTGTGTGGTTTTGGTATTGGAGTTATTAAAGATAGTTTCCACTGGATAAGGAAATAGGTTGTGCGAAATATTGCATTGTAAATAGATGTAATGTACACTATTGCTTTTTTGGGTAGATTTCGGAGGATTTTAGGGGTAATTAGATCATGGCCTAGGGATTTTCTTTCGGAAAGGCGGAGAATCTGATACATGACATCTGCGGGGTGGATGGGCTTAGGAGGTAGAGTGAGAGGGAGAGGAGAGTGAAGGAATTCATTGATATGATCTGAGTGTGGTGACATTCATATCGGGATGGGGATCCCATCCCTAACCATCCCTAAAGGAGGAAGTTAGCAGCACAATGTCATCTGTGTATAGTGCTGATATGTTTTAATTTTTGGCATAGCATTCAGGAAGAGAGTGAAAAGATCCCAAGATGGATCCCTGTGGCACTCCTGCTGCTATGATGTAAGGGGGTGAGATGGCTTTATTGAGGGAGATTCTGAAGAACCGCTTATTTAGGTATAAGTGCACCAGGCTAACAAGGTATGCAGGGAACTCATACCTTATCAGCCAATACATTATGCCCTCCGGCCAGGCTGCCTAAGGCCTTTTCCAAGTTGTGTTGGGTGTATTTTTCAAATCGAATCTGTGTCACAGGCCTTTATATTACTTTGTCAATGTTACCATGAAGAACGTTTTTCAATTTGATCTTTTAGAATTTTTTTTATTTTTGTAGAAAAAAATATTTTTAAAAAATTATTTACATATTTTGGGAGTGTCTAAATCAATGCGATAACAAATGTGTTAAAATAATGAAGAAAAAAAATTGTATACCTTGTAATATAAGAGTATTCTCCTCTAAAATTGTTAACAATAAGATTTTGTACTAAAGGGTTAGACTGTTGTCCCAAGTTGTCTTCCAACAGTGAAATAAATAATTTAGAAAATTCCTAGAAAAGCGTATTATAAAAACGTTTAAATGACACATTCTAATTTCCAAATTTTAAATACTCACTTGAGCATCTTGTTGCATTGAAGGCTCTAGGTTGAGAGACCTAATGAATCCAGAAGGATCGATTGATTTCTGCCTACTGAACTGCATTAGGGCAAAGAGAAGTTGTAAATGGCCCACAGCTGTCCTGGGCTCAACCACATCCTGTACATGATCATTTTCAATTTTTGTGTCTAAAGCTTCCAAAGGATCTTCTTTCGGATCCCAGAGAAGAATACCATTTCTACAATGGAAAATGAAAATCGTTTAAATCAAACTTTCAACTTTTCATGGAGTTAATAACATACAATGTACTTCAATAGATAAATAATATCAATCAAATTTCATTAACTGATTTTTAATTAAATAATTCATAGTAGCATACAATCTATCAAAATTGTATTAATAAATGCTACAATTAACAAAAAAATAGTCACCTAAAAGCTAAATTATGAAACCAAAGTTGCAATAGACTGTTAACATAACATGTAGCACCGAGATTCTTTAGGCCGACAAAGGAGTCCGTTTCACGCAGTTCTATATCAACATCATCATCTTCACTTGATTCTTTCTGCTCGCCAAACCATTTTGACTCCCCCAGGCCAGACAGGCAAAAAGGATTTCCCCTGCAGTTCCTCCTGAAATTAGAGAATCAATTTAACACTTGGAATTTAAATTCATTAAATAAAAAAATTCTAACAAATAGATTGTTTTAACAGTATTACAAAATTATAATAGAGTACAGTATTAAAAATAAAAACTAATAGAAACTTTTGTCATTTCAACATCTCCTATCTAGGGTAAATGAATGACAAATGTAGAAAATTATATTTATTGTATTTAAGCACAAATAAAACAATTAGAGAAATGTACCATGTTTTAAGTGTACAAAACATTTTTTTTTAATGATGTGAAATTACTGAAATACTCAACATCTTTGATTTTCGTAATAAATTTTGTCAGCCTGAATATAGCAAAATACAATACGTTCAAATACACGGAAAATGAACACACCATACTGAGACCACCTGCAAATCGGTAAATGACAATTTCTCTATTTTATATCTGACTATACATATTTATTATAATCGATATCATTGAAACAATTTTACTTATACCATCTTTTAGCTATTCGATTAGCACAGAAAATGTTTTAAGTGTGAAAAACATGAAATGTGCTCAATTTTTGACCAAAATGCAAATAAAATGTTTTAAACTTTGTGTCTGCCTTTCTATATAATTTATTTTATTGATTATATATAATTATTTATTGGTGACCAGAAACCAGATCCCAAACACATAAATCTTCGTGGTCGATTTCTTCTTCATTTTCATATATAATTTATGTATTTATTATAAACAATATCCATGAAAAAATTTTAGTTCTTTGATATTTAACAATCAGAATATAGCAAAAGACAATTTTTTGAATATAAAAAAATACCGTCAATTTTTGAATTTTTGACAAACAGCAGGTGATAATTTTTCAACTTTTTATTTTACTAATTGTAATCTCTCTTATGATGAAGTTACAGTTCAGTTAGCTACACATAAGCTGCTCCAACTTCTCAAAAACACCTTTGGGAGCTCATCCAAAGTTGTTGGAATAACAGAAAAATTAGAAAAACTTATAGAAAGAATGCCAAGAGTAGTCCAAACCGTCTTGAAAAGTAAGGGATCTTTTTTACGAAAAAAAAGTATAGATCAATATTTTTTCTACATTATTACTATTAATCCTATGCTGTATATCATTTTATGTGCAATTTGGAGATCGTGAGATGCGGTCTGGTGTGACGTAGGTTTAAGAAAAACATTTTCTTTAACAGACCAACATTTCAATCTATATTGAGATCATCTTCAGGGACTGGGATTTATAAAAATTGTTTAAATTATACAAATACATCTAAGATGTAAAAAATGAATTTATACAATTATAGAAATTTTATACTCAATCAGTGTTAGTTTTCTGTGCAGATGTGTCATTACTGTGTGTCGTATTGAGAGTGCCAGTGAGATTAGAGATTTTAATGTTTTTTGTTTATATATGTTGGATTTTGAAGGTGTGGGGAAGGACGTCGGGATAGAAATTCATTTTTCTTCAAGGAGTCAGCTTCTTTGAGGTGAAAGGAGCTGACAATGGGTAATGGTTCGGCCTGATTAGCCTTTCAGGATTACACAGACAGGGATAATTAATTAATTCTCACGATCTCCAACTAATTATTAATTATCGGTCACTAAACACCATACATTTTACATACATTTATTTCGCAGATATCTTGTCATTAATAAAATTCTTTTTGAAATCTGTATTTTCATTCTCTTATTGCAAAAAATTGAGATGGTCCTAAACTTTTGACCGGCAATGTATGTAAAATACTGACAGGCAAAACTTCCTCCTGATTTTTTTTTTTTTTTCATTTTCTCGATAACAGAAACTTTGGTCATTGATTTGTCTCATTGTTTTTCTCAATAAAAATTTGTTTATGCTATGTTTTAAATTTGGAATATCAATTAGAGGTAAACACACTTATCCTTAATCCAAAACAAGGATAAAAGATTTTTGAATGTTTATTCAGTCTCATTTGAATTCTGAATAAACTGTTTAGTTTTCATCATCGTTTTCTTAATTTCTATTTTTAAACTTAAAAATGCCACTTAGTGCTGAGGATGTTGTGCGTGGTGTGGCACTTGATTGTTGATGGACGTTCCCATCAGGTATGCGGCTTTCGTAATCAGAGTTACCTACGAAACTCTGCGAAACGGTTTCGAGAAACTGGGTCCTACCGTAGAAGGCTTGGTTCTTCGGTTCTGGATGCCCTAGATAAGAGAACCACAGGATGACCATTTTTTGACTTTGAGAATTTTGTGAAACCAGCACCTTACTGTTGTTCAACCGATTCATCAGGTCCAAGAAGTTTGAAGTGTTCAAATTTCTAAGCCCACTGCTCGAAGAAGATTAAATCAATATAAATAAATGGACTGATGGCTTTTCTCCCCGTACAAGGAACAGAATCGACCAGAATACACAGAGCTGCATGCTCACATTTGCTCGAGAACACAGCCAATTGGTCTTTGGACGTTTAGTCTGCTGTACTTTTTATGAGTGTAAATTTCCTCTACGATCTCCAGATGGGCGTGAAAGAATGTGGAGAAGGCGAAATGAAAGGTACAAAGCGTGTAATTTTTCCCAGAGCCAATCTTTTCAACGGAGCTCAGTGATGGTGCGGGCGGAAGTTTCAATGGAAAGTCGCACAGAGTTGGCTGTCATTCGTAGGGGGCCTTTGACGGCCTATCCTCAATGAAATCAGCGACAATCCTATTCAAATGCACGATAATGCCCATCCACATGTTGCTCGCATAGTAAAAACCTACCTTCAACAGCATAACATCAGGGTCTTAGCCTGGCCAGGCCGTTATCGAGATTTCAACCCCATCAAACATTTATGGGAAAACCTCAAACCTCAAAAGACGGATAAGTGCACGTCCATAACTTCCTAATACACTCCACGATTTTGAAAATATTCTTCATGAAGAATAAGCTGCCCTCCAGGAAAGAGACATTTCCAGGCTGGTAAAAAGTATGCTGAGGCATCTTTAATGTAATTAAGGCAAGAGGAGGAAATATGTGATTTTGAAACATTAATTAAAAATCTAAAACAAAATTTAAAAAATTTTATCTGTCCAAATCTAAAACAAAAAAATCAAAAAAATCCAAAACAAAATTTAAAAAATTTTATCTGTCCAACTTTTTAAACAACAATTATTTATTTAGTTTTCATTTTCCTTAGTAATTTACATTTTTTTTTTTTTTAGCTTTTTTAGACAAAGACTCAATTATTAAACATTAAAAAAACGTGAAACTTGGATTAACATATAAAAATATATACAAATCATGTTATATTACAAGTAGGCAGAATTTTTGCCTGTCAGTGTATTGTAAAAAAAATTATGATAATATACCCAACCTAAGTGAAAGAATGTGAATGTCGAAGGAATTTTGTATGCATTAAACGAGATGTTTTGCTTCATTCTATACATACATATGTATATACATTCTGTTTGGTATAAACATTGTTGGAACTTCACCCCCCCCCCCAACTTCCGCAACACATCTAGAATTGTTACGCATCGGATACAGCATACATTTACGTTGTAAACAATGTATTGGATACGGCGGACTTTGGTTACAATGTACAAAAACCTGCGGTCCCTTCATGTAAACGATATCCACTGTACTTGTATTAAATTTGATTTATGAGTAGTGTTCTGAAGCATAAATAAGTTAATAATATTTGTATGAATATTGATATTTATTCAAATTTATCTAATCCTGTGTCGCTTTAGATTCCTTGTTAAAAATATACGTTTGTATAATTTGAAATTATAAAATACTTACATTTGTAATTTTCCCTCCAAATATGACTGTAAACAAAGTCCCGCTTAAATTTAATAAATGTCGAATATTTAAAAGACAAATTAAAAATGTTGAAATATAGCTGGTCCTTTTCACTTTACTGCCAGATTGAAAGTATGCCAAAATTTTGTTTGTATTTATCTTGCATGTTAATTTTTCGTTTTATTTATTTATTTTTTTAGTGTGAAACGATTTAGAGGGTATTTATTGAATATGGATTTTGGTACCTGCAGGATCCGATTTTACACGGCTGGACGGTGACCCTGTAGGCGGACTTGATGTGGTCTTCGGTGACGTCGGACACCTCGGTCGTCTCTGCCCAGGACCAGGCGGCTCTGTCCAGATGGACCTTCTTCGGGGGCGGCATATCGAGCTCCGGCCGGAATCGCCGCCACTAACACTAAGCCCCTCCCGGTGCCGGCCAGCCGCGTTGAAACTCGGGTCGAATCGGCGCGGAAACTGGGGGCTGGGGCTAGCCCGCGTCGTCCATGCCGTCCACAGGTCGAAAACCGATTTTGCCGACTGTCCCGTGACTCCGCAATTTTCCGGTTCTCGTCCCCTGGATCGGGCGGCTTTTGCGAAAGTTCGTCTCGACTCCAATGAGTTGATCTTGCGCCAAAAAAAAACCTAGCGAGGGGATGTTTGATAACCAGTCACCAAGAAGCCCGAATATAACAAAACGGAAGGTTTCCCTATTCTGACCACAACAAAACCAATTCCTGTCTCAATAAATCAAATAAAACTACCTCTGCCAAAATCTCCTTTTTCCCATTTATTTGTCATTTTTAGACTAAATATAACAATTTTATTTTAAATCTCCCCTCATAAGCTAATATTTGATGCAAATTTCAAAGAAAATATACTTTATGCTTTCTTTATTATTTATATATAAGCACTACTAAAATAGATTAGAACTGCAAATTGATCTTAAAATCAAGGCCTAATTTCCTTTTAAAATAATAAAACAACTTTTGTTCATACTAGCTAAGAATAAATAATAAAAGCGGTATAAAGACAAGAATGAGGGAAATTTTGAAGCAGGTCTATTGGCACTTGAGGTGCACGATGATAAAAAACATCTTTTTTATTTATTTTCAAAGTACAAATAGAGCTTCAAGCTCTCTTACATGTACATATATTAGAAATTTAGTTTTATAAAATAATAACAACTTAATTTTTTGTTGGATTCGTGAGAAGCGGTCAGGAATAAGGTAGTTGAGAAAAATGTTTTTCTTTTTTACGTTTCGAACTATTCGGGTCATCTTCAGCGCCTGGGTGAATTTCAAAGCAACTACCGATCGGAAAATACAATACGGATGTAAATATAGTTTGAAACCAAGTACAATACTCTTATAAAGTATGGTGCTATTCTTGTGGTGTCATTTTGGTGTTGTGAATGATGAATTTGTATTCTGACTGTGACTGGGTACGTGACGCGGAAATCTGCGAAATTTTCTCTGATCATTCGCGGTTTTATTTAACTCAAAGATTTACCGCGAACCCCACCCTGTCACTATCATATAAAAACAACAAATTCACGTTTCACAATTTCGGGATGGATTTTTCCTTGAACTTAAACCAATGTAACGATGATACTTTAATCATACACTGACGGTTCTAAAAAAAATTACGTATGTTGTTCTTATGTAATTGAGGGCCACCCTTCTATATTTCATTTACCCACTTTACCCTCACTTTTCAGTTCATATAATGTAGAAATATTTGCCATTTTAAATGCTTTATACGATCCCTCCATCAGTCACCGTGAAATAATTATATTTCTGATTCTTATAGTGCACTTCAAAACCCTTACTCCAAAAATCCATCAGTTCAGAACATTTGGCAAAACTTAAAAAAAATATCACGAATGGCTCTTCTGTTTCCTTCATTTGGATACAAAGTCATGTCGGGATTAAGAGAAATGAGCTAGGTGACAACACAGCAAAAGCTGCACAGAACAATCCCGTCATCTTAGTTTTAATAAAGCCTGAAGATAAAATCTGCTTTCTAACTTAAATTAATTGGAAAAATCTGCAGAAACAAACCACTTCCAACAAATTACGAAATATAAAAGAGACTGGTAAACCTTGGGAAACATTCTTCCAAACTTCCAGGCCAATTACGTATAGGGCACAGAAATATGAAATGGAAAAATCTATACCACCCACGTACATGCCTTTGTGGTGATCAATTAGATGTATTACACATACTTGTGCCCCCTCTGAGGTAGGCTCATTACTCCAAAATCCCCCGGACTATAAAAGAAATGTTGGGGAACGAACAGAAAAACAACTGATCAAGCCTTTGGAAGTCTAAAAATGAGAAATCTATATAAATGTATATAAATTTCCAATAAACCACTGGTATCACACAACAACAAAATGACACCACAAGAATAGCACCACACTTTATTTGAGTATGAAATTCTTGGTTTCAAAGTTTATATTTACTTATTATTATTAACTGTACTGTATTTTTCCAATTTATATATGTTTTGCAATCCAATCAGGCTCTGAAGGTGACCCGAATAAAGGTCGAAAAGTCTGCAAAAAATGAAACGGTGCTTTTCTAAAATACCTTGCTCTTGACCGTACCTCACGAATCCAACAAATTATTTAAACAACAGGTTACTAAAAAAACAGCAATAATATCACATACAAAATAATGTGTAGAGATTAGTGACCGTTAATCGATAGTTATTCAGATATCACGATATCTGAATAAATACAAAATAATAATGACAATAATATATTCTTTATATATATTATGAAAGATTATGATAATATATTATGAAAGAAAAGCAGAAAAAAATAAACAGGAAAAAGAAAAGATGATTCATGTTGTTTTTAACGACCTCAGATGTCATGGACCTGAAACAAGCCAGCGAGGATGCACATACTTCCTGGGGAAGCAAATTGACCCTGCAATTCTGAAAAATGCTTAAGGTTTAGAGGAGTGATGAGGGCTTGGGATGTGATTGGTGCGTTTGGATAAGGAATGAGGAGAAAGAAGTTGATATATATTGGGAACATTTATTCGATTTAATTTTAAATATATATATTAATTAAATCTCTAAATTTATAAGTGCTTAGAATGCTAAGGTTGCTGAAAGCATTAAGTAGGAATATGATCCCTTGCTTTAAGATATCAGTATTTAATGCAGGAATGATAAGCAATTTGAAAGCAATGAGCAGATCGAGAGTCTAAGGAAAGTGAAAAAATAACACTACAGTAAAAGCATAAAGGAATTATTAGGGATTTAATAAGGAGAATTCTAGTTATCTGGGAAGTGAAAAAGCTAGTGTCGAAGAGAATGGAGGTTTGAGTAGCTCTTTTTAATAATACTAAATACAGTTCACATGGTTATGCCACATAAACTTTGAGTTAAAAATAATGAGATTTTTAACTTTAAGACAAAAATTAGTAGGGGAGATGTTGGAGGAGGGGGATAGGCATCTGTAGGAATGGGTTTACTAGTAATTGATAAGGACTGGGGGGAACCAGTGACCACAAAAGTTTAAGCGTTGACACGGTAATCACTGTAATGTGAAGGTCCCGGGTTTGAATCCAGCGGTCCTGCACTCGTATACGTTAGCATGAAAATGTATTGTTTTTACACTCCATAATTATTTTTTTTAACGAGGGTATTTCATTATGAAGTTATATTCACCCCTCGAGGTGCTGGTGTTTTTTAAATAAGCTCATTTGTAACTATATCGGGTTCAAATACAGGGGGCTGCTGGGTTCGAATCTGGGACCTCTTTGCCTTACAGTGATGAGCACTGTGTCAATGTAAAAACTGTTTCAACCACCAACGTCCCAGAATAAAAGGTTTAAACTTGATTAAGAAGAATCAATGTGTCTACTATCATATTTATTATATTAACTAACAATAAAACTGAACAAAGGAGAGAAGATATAAAATTTAAAAAAACCTAAATGAACATAATGAAAGAAAATAACTAGAATTCTCACCAGAATTTATTAAAATTATATAACATATATTTAAAAGGATATATGTAGATTACAAATTAATTTTGATGTACAAAGTGCAGATACGACTTGCTGAAGATGGTGCATTCATGTGTACCAGTAGATCATTGAATGGAAAACTGACATTTGTGCATACACAAATTTGGATGGAAGAAGTTATGTCAAGGGGTACTTGTTTATGATTGGGAGTTGTACTAGAAGGTTTTTCAATTTTTATTAGCTATCAAATAGATTACCACAATCCTATGCAGAATTCTAGGATACAAGCTGATCCTATAATCAAACATAAAAATTCATTACCTAATTTGCTAACTGAATGCACAAAAATCAAATGTAAATAAAAAGATCAGACTGGTATATTTATCACATAATATCATACATATACTTGTCTCATTAAAATAAAATCATCACAGAAATTATCTACATTCATGTAAGTTTGCATGTTTCTATGTAAATTTACCTTCTCTACTTCTGATCAACATGTAGACATTGGCCTGTATGTAAGAGACAGACCCGATTACGCATGGCTAATCTGTAAAAATATACACAAATTCATGTTTTGTCCTGATTAAAACATTATTTGAAATTAAATGAACTAAACAAATGTACGAATACGACCCGGACAAATACCACAATTGGACATAAAGATAGAGGTCCTGTGGCAGCGCTATGCCGCACTCGGTTTCATCTCCTTCTATGTGCACAACCAGTACAATCATCGCACAAAAAGAGAAAAATCACTTTTTATGCTGCTGCACGGCGCAAAGTGCTAGAAGGTTTTTCAATTTTCATTAGCTGCCAAATAAAACAAATTACCTCAATCCTGTGCAGAATGTTTTCTGGGATGTAGACGATCCTACAATCAAATAAAAATTCATCACATATTTCGCTAATTGAATACACAAAAATCAAATGTAAATAAAAAGATCAGACTGGTATATTTATCACACATTATCATACATATACTTGTCTCATTAAAATAAAATCATCACAGAAATTATCGATATTCAGGTAAGTATGCATTGTTCTATGTAAATATACGTTCTTAACTTCAAATCAATGTAGACAAACATCACTTTTATGCTATTGTTCGGCGCAAAATGTTAGGTTCTTTCAATTACCTAGCTAATACCCGTGTAACTTTCAATTACTGCACAAATCATTCTATCCATATATAATTAAATCCACTATTTATTTTAGACGTATTTTATCTTTCCTTGCATTATATTTGTTCAACAATCATAAAATCATACACTTCACTCACTGTATAAAATCATCACTGAAATTACCAGTGCTTTTGTGACATTGCTAGAATAGATATTTCATTTAACTAAATAAAATTATTAAAAATAATCAAATATTACCATTTGTAAAGTAACAGCGTAAGTAATTAAGTCCGTTACAAGTTCCGAGGTCTATCGTTGACTGACCACGTGGTCGAACGGTCGTTTTTCGTTACCCACTGTTCACTGCTCACTGCTTACAGAATACTGAGTGAATTGTAGTTACTTGAGTATGGACTTGACTCTTTGATAAAAATATCGGTATAGTCGATATATAAATAATATTCAATGTTATTTCGATTTTTTGGATCAGTGGCTTTTATAACTTTAACTTTTAATAAAAAATCAAATTTATTGTTGTGATTGATGATATGGGTTTGTTTATACCTAGAGCCATACCTTTCCCCCTAAGTCCGAACTATGCTAGTTGACATTTGACAGTTGTCGGTTCTCACATAGGAGATTTGACAATGAGTAAACGAGCTCCGAATTTTTCCCAACTAGAAGAGCAGATATTAACAAAATTAGTGTTGAAATTCGCGAGTATTTTGGAGAATAAAAAAACCGACGCCGTTACGACAAGAAAAAAATCCGTCTGTTGGGAAAAGATCACCGGCGATTTCAACACAACGCCGGGTTGTGCATTAAGGTCGGCTGTAAACCTTAAATGTAAGTATGAGAATTTAAAAAAGAAAAGGCAATGGAGAAGAACACATACAGGGTCGGAACCGGAGGGCAACCACTTAAGGACCAGTCCGAGTATGGACAGGACTCTGGAAGAGATTTTGGAATGCCATTTGAAAGAGAAACCACACCAGTCTGACGATGCTGAAATCACCAACATTCAAGGTAAGTCCAGCCATTCATTGTTCTCAAAAAAGAAAACGTAATTTGTAAAATTTTCCAGTTACCCCAGAAGTTGAATCCTGTTTTGCTCCAAAAATTGATCATGTCATGTCTACTAATGGTTCGTATTTTGTTATTGATGATTATTAGCGTGGTATTGATGATGTGATCTGTGCACACATTGAAGAGGTCGATATCAGTCAGGTCAAAGTTGAACCAGGCAGCTCAAATCAGACAGAATCAGACTGGACAGACGATAGTGTAGACAAAGCGAGAAATCTTACGCCTACATTTCAGAAAAGTGAGTAAAATCCTTAATTATTATATTCTTATCTACTTAGATCTTTTATGTATCTAGGCCCACGGAAACATCAGTGGTCTGATATAGAGTCGCAGTCGTCTGCTATGAAGGCTTCGACAGCTGAAACGACAAAAGCCCTGCAAGAGGAACTATTCCATTTCCGAAAACAGTTATTATTAGAAGAACATGAATTACAATTAAAGCACATGCGGGAGAAGCATTCTGAAGAGATGAAGGAGCAGGCTTTAAAAATTAAACATATGTGCGAGAAGCATGGCAAAGAGATGAAAATATTACGCAAGAAAAACGAATTATGCGATATACAAATTTTAACACAATTAAAATAATATTGTATATATATCACAAACACATATCTGTAAATTCTAGTTGTAAATAAAATATAAATGACTTTTTTGTCAGACTTTTTCTTTGACAGGTGGCTCATTAGGGTGCTCTTTGGTATGGCTGTTTTTTCGGTCGCATCTACTTCATGAATGTCAGGAATCTACTTCTTCATGTCTCAAGCTTCGCAATCCTACTGAAAATACTGGAAAACATCATTTCCAGACACCTAGAATATGAATTTTATTTTTCAGATTTAAAAAATTCACTTGTTTATTTGTTCCATTGATTCTGACTCTTAGTGACTACACCAGAGACCGTTACCATCCCCAGTTCCCCACGGCTGAGTCCGTTACTTTTCTCCAGGGTATCCTATGTGGCCAAAATACTTCAGTTTTGCCTTCAATATCATTCCCTTGTATGCAGGCTTTATTTCCAACAGTAAGGACTGGTTTGATCTTGCAGTCCAAGACACTTACAGGCTTTTCTTCCAACAGCACAGTTCAAAAACAAATCTCTTCTTCAGACTTACTTATGATCTAGCTGATGTAAACTATTTTTTTTTAATTTACCATTGCTCTCCTTTCAAGAAGTGGACATCTTTTGATTTCCTGGCTACAGTCAGCTTTTCCAGTAATCTTTGCACTTACAAATGCAAAATCTGTCATTGCCTTCACTTTTTCTTCCTGTTATTGGTAGTTATTAATCAAACACTGGGTGCCACTTTTTTAATATTTATTTAAGGTTTAACTGCAATCCAGCTTTTCTTCTTTCACCTCCTCAATTCCTTGCTTTCAAAGTGGTATCACCTGCATATCTGAGATTGTTAATGTTTCTTTCAGCGATTTTAACTTAAGCAGAATCTCCCAGTTTTGGTTTTTACTGATCTCCTAATTTCAGGACTTTTTACATTTGATATTCATTTGTTTTGTTATAAACTGTTTATTCAGCCTATTCCAAACAAAAAGATCTTGTAATATCCATAAAATATCGATTACAGTAGAAAGGGGGCGAATCACCCAGTTTTAGCTTTTGCGGATCTGCTAATTTCTGGACTTTTTACATTGTTGTTCGTTTGTTTTGTTATAAACTGTTTATTCAGCCTATCCCAAATGAATAAGTTCATATAATTTACATTAAATATCAATAACAGTGGAAATTGGCAAAAAGAGGTGTCTTGGATTCCTCAACACCAGCAATCGCATGATGTATCTTGTGTACAGGTTGAATATTAATTTTGTTTTTCCAGCATACAAAATTCCATCGGCAAAAATTTATTAGATTGCTTTGGACTTATCAAGTCAAGCTGAGAGGCAGCCACATCCAATCTTTTCAATCTAGAGGCTGCCGCATTAACATTACTACATCACCAATCTACACAAAAACCTAAATGTCCCATTAATGGAGGATCTAATCCCAACACGTTTCTACATTTTTCTCTCTTAAGCTAGCCCTTCAACTTAACCCATTAGTAAGCTCAGCTAAGGGAAACAACTTTAGCCAAATATCTCAAACTGTGATATTAGATATATGAACTGTTAACTTGTATTATTTTAATCTGCTTCAGTAACAAACAAAAAAAGGTTCGCCAACACAAACAATACCACATTTGGACAGATGAAATCTGTCAAAAACTCTGCTGTTGAAAAATAATCAGTAAGTTGTTGAATATTTCAAGATTCATTTTGATCAACGAACCAACCCTAAGATATCGTCAACTTTGCTAAACTGAAAAAAGTGTGTGATATCACTTTCCAATCAAATTTTGGAATGTCTACAGTATCTTTGTTATATATTTGTATTAAAAGAAAGTTATTAATTTTTCTGTTTGAAAAAAGGAGCTGCCTTAAATTTAAAAAATAAAGTAGAATAAAAATTGTACAAAAAATACTTGTATATTTCTTTGTATAATAGCATATTAATATAAATGTATGCACTGTTAGAAAAAATATACATATAAATGTCTACAGTTGTGTACAATATCACTTGCTTAAAAAATATAGTGGATATTATCTAATTAAACAAACAATTTTTTTTTAATATTTAAAATCTCTAAAAATATAATTTGAAAAAAAAAATAGAATTGACAACAATTTTCGTTTTTACAAATAGCGCCAAATGCTAAAAGGTTAAAGGTAGTATAGATCCATTCCACGGTCACAACCATCACTTTCTGGACTAGGTGAAGCGACATCACATAAATTGGGTTCTTCGATGTTTTCCTCCTCCTCGCTACTGGTACTATTCCTGGCTTCTGGTGCCAAACCAAGGACCCGTCTTGTAGACACTGTGAGGCTCGTCGAAGCTTCTAGCTGCTTAAATATAGCCGTGGCGCGAACCAGAATATCCTCTAGATTCATGTTATAAGCCAGCTCATTGATATGCTAAACATAAAACAATTTTCAAATGAAATATTAAAACCAACATTAGTTATAAATAAGCAGGTCAACCTTTAAAATTTCAGTAAAACCAAAGTTTCCATTTAACAAGAAATTTTTCTCCTTATCAAGGATTGCAACACAAATGAGCAGGTGGAAATTTGAGCAAGGAAGTCCTGTCCAAAGTAGCTAAAATAAAATTTCGGTATAATATTAATTTATTTTATTAAAATTAAACAAAACCAATTTGAAACATACTTCCCACAAGGACATTATTTCCTCTTGGTTAAACTCCCTTTTAAACCAGACAAGAAGCCATCGGAAACAAAAGAACATATTTCCTGAGTCTCTTTCTTCCAAAAAGGAGGCCAACTCTGGGCTTACGGCCGTCAATAAAGTTTGTAATTGACTTAGCTGTTTCTTCATCCCTGACTGATCCATATCAAAATTCCTGTACTGTTAAATAATGAACAAATTAATTATTTTTAAGTATGTATTTTTAAAAATTGTAGAGGGATAATGACAGATAATTTATCTTAGGCAAAAATAAGGCTTCACCGAATATGCAAAATGGGATAAGGACTAAGCGATAAAGCCTGAAAAAAAAGATATCGATGAGAAAAAATTTAAAATTACCACTTTGTTCATAAATCCAACAAAGCACCAGAATGCATCAACTTCGTTACTCATGAGTGCTAAAATTGGTGAAAGAAGGTCGCTCATCCCCTGCACGTAACCAAGGTCAAAATTATACATCACATACGTCATTAGAATATCATTGAGCAGTTTTAGATTCGGATTTTGGTCACCACTATAAAATGGAACAGTTCTGTCAGTTCTGTTTACATCCTTTTCTACAGATAAGAAAAAAAAATATAAACAAGATTATTCTTTATAATTTTAATTATTTATAATTCTTACCGATTAAACTTTTACGGTCGTGAAAATCTGAAAACCTCGATTCCTGTTCTGGTGTCATGCTTATCCATTGGCTCTTCATTCTGAAGTACTCATCAAGTTTGTCTTTTCTAAGAGCCTGCCTTTCAATATTCGTCGAATTCCAAGGGAAATAGTCCAAAAGATATTTCCAGACTTCATACCTCAAAGAAGGAGTGATTCCCTAAAATGAAATCTCATATAAGTAAGATAACAAAATTGGCAAGTATGAAAAAAAGTTTTTGATAAGTTTTTTTATAAACAAAAAATATATTTTAATTTAATTTTATTACATGTAATGATAATTCGTTTAACCAGCCTACTTTACAACCTTATAATGACAGCTTTATTTATTTTTCTTCTTCTTAATGTAGTCAGAAAGGTTTGATTTTTAGCCTTTGAGATATAAAAGTTTCTATGCCCTCAAAGTTTAATTGTACAAATTAATGCAGAAACATTCCACAATTTTATTTATTTCAGGTGTTTAAATGGATTAAATTTTACTATACAGTCGACTCTTTTTAAACTTGATAATTCAAATTTCTTGATAGTATATCTCAACTAAAAACCTTAATTTTCTTGATAGTACCAACTCTTCAGCAGGTCACTTCAGTAAATCGAAAAAATTCTGTGCATTTTGATACACTGTAATATGAAATATTTTTTGTAACGGGGAGAAAAATCATTCTATTAATCAAAATGGAACCTTATAACTTTATAATTTGCACTTTTTCTTTGTTACATTCATCCAACTTTCCAAGTTTTCTCCTTAATGCTTAAAGTTTCTTAGAATTTTCTCTAGTTTGTCATGTTCTGCAGTCAGTGTTTGATTGATGTGTTGTCAGCACTGGTCACTTCGGAAAACCATTTAAACAAAAGACACCAAGCCATATTGAAACAAAGTGTTTACGCCAATGTAAACATTTTTACATATGAATAGTTAATTAGAAATCTTATCCTTTATTATTTTAAATTTATCATTTTAAAAAAAATATATAAAAACAGAACATTTGTAAGGATCACGACGCTGGAGGGAGGAACAAGGTCAATTTTCAGCAATCCTTCGTAAAAGGAGTGAGTCACTGCCTGGTTTTCGAACTGTTCGCACGAAGTACAACTGTCTTCAGCGTTCAGTCAGTCTCTCCCGAGGATTCAACCTGTACGCNAGCTGTCTTCAGCGAGTCTCTCACGTCGTGAGTCGACAAGACGTACGAACGTCCTTATTCTTTTAATTCAACATTGCCTTTTTTTTTTATTAACTTTCTTATAATCAACTCTCTATATTTCTATATATTCGTTAACTTTGTTTTGTTTCTGGCCAGATTTTAGTTTCCGTATTTTTATCATAAATTGTCAAACGAATTATTCATTTTTATTTTTTTTTAACCTTAGTCCTTTAGGCAACAGTCGGCAATATCCCTGGTAACGCCGGACTTGAAGGGTAGATATCCAATTCTACGAAACACAAAGCATCACGATTTTTTTTAATAAGGCGTAACAATGTTCAATTTTACATTGTTCTATTTCCACTTTTTCATTATTTTTACTGTTTAAGTAATAACTTAGAAAAATGCATATCAACTCAACAATTTTTTTCTTTCGTCTTGATAATTCAAATTATTTTTGTGGTCTGTTTGGTTTTGAATTATCAAGTCGTCTGTATCTTTTAAAAAACGTACTGAATACAAATAAAAATGTTCCTTGATTTTCCCTGATCATCCTAGTCTGCCTATCCTTAATGGTATTATCTGCCAGGATGCTTTAGCATTATTCTAGATAAGCACTTATAAATGGATGTACATGATAAAATGCAGATGAGCCAACGGATATAAGAAAAGCGTCTAATAGTCAAAACCTGTGTGGAAAAGTTAAATCAGGATGATCATATATGATCCAAGTTCACATTTTAGTTAAAACACCTAAAAAATGGGCTTTTGATTTACAACAATCACACAAACGTGTAGTATTTAGTGGCCATTAATAAAGGATTATTTGGAGTTCGTTCATTTAGAAAAAAATTTCTTTATCATGCCAATGTTTCAATCTTTTCTGAGATCATTTTCAGAACCTGGGATTTACAAACATTGTTTAAATTATACAAAATTTCTATCATTGTATAAATTCATTTTTTCATATCTTACATGTACTTGTATAATTTGAACAATGTTTATAAATCCCAGGCACTGAAGATGATCTCAACAAAGATCAAAACGTTGGCATGATAAAAAAAAAAACGTTTTTCTAAAACATACGTCTCACCAGACCGCAACTCACAATCTCCAAATAATCATTAATTAATGATCACTGAACACCACACATATTAGAAAAAGGTGGTCAACAAGTGAAATAATTTTCTTGCGATTCTTTTTTATTTAGACATTAACCTTAACTCTCGATCTCAAGATCGAAACGTTGGCACGATAAAGAAAATGTTTTTTCATCAGACCCATCTCAAGATCTCTAAATAATAATCCCATAAACGTTTGTACTATTTCAAATCTTTAAAATATTTTATAATCTCCCCTAAAATACAAGGCTTAACTTCAGAGCTTTGTTACCTTTATATAATATTCATTCACCACTTCAATCATTCAGAAGCAAAAGCACATTATTAAATGTTAAATTGATTCACCCCTTTGAATATGGTTTGTTTCACTTCCTCAACATTGGTGATTCTGCCTTCTTCATCCATGAAGTGAACCCACTGTTGCAGATTGAGAGGTGGGTCTCTTGGAGTAAGAACTCTTGGAGGCAATTGGTCGTGTTTTTCAACAACAAAGTGGTAGTCCTTAAGACTATCCTTCTGCTGAGCAAAAACAGGTCCATCAGAGTGTGATAGGTCATTTGTCTCATCTCTCGCTTCTGGCATTTTGTATACTGAAATTAGATGAAAATTAGTTTTGAAATGGATTGTTTTCTTGTTAATAACTTACACCAGTATTCGGATAATTTTGAAAATGTGGAGAGTGTTGTTTCGTAAGGACTTGTTTTTAAGTCGTGTACAAATTTCCACACTGTATCTTTTCCAGAGTCTGAGAAGAGATGCAACTCAGAAAAGGAATGGTTCAGCCCTTCAGGATCTCCTCTTTCTGCGATGATATTGAAAGTATGTCTGTCACGACTAGATCTGTAAAAAAACACTAATTAATAAAGGCATAAATAATAGCAGATAAATATATTAATTTTATGTGGATGAATCGAGGTAATGAATGACTATAATTCATAATTATTTCACCTTTTGGTTTTAACGACACTCCTTAGCGACCTTGTGAAACAATCGGCATTCTCATACTGGAAAATGAAGGTGTATTTTTTCTTACGGTCTTTGCTTGTCAAAATAAGTTTTCGTTTTTGAGAAGATACTTTGTAACTTTTCAACTCGGAAAGAGGGATTTTTATACATGGAAATTTCGTTGTGTTAGATTCATTGCCTCCTGCAAAAAAATAAATAAATAACTATTAACTTTTAAAAATCCTGTTATATACCACTACTATTGCTATTTAATTTATTGTTAGAAACAGGAATATTTCCTATCATTTGGAAAACTAGTCACATTTTGCCAATATTTAAAAAAGGCAATAGAGCTTTAATACAGAATTATAGACCTATAAATAAATTATCAGTTATTCCAAATGTTTTTGAACAAATATTATGTAAAAAAATTACTCCTATGTTCAATTGTTTAATTGATGAAAACCAACATGGGTTTGTGAAATATAAATCCGCTTTAACAAATCTATTAACTTTCCAGCATAGCATACTCGAAGCTTTTGAAACTGGCTATCAGGTAGACGTCATTTACACTGACTTCAGCAAAGCTTTTGATAGAGTTAACCATGAACTTCTCTGCTCTAAGCTAGAACCGATTGGTATTCATGGTGGCCTGCTGGAATTGTTGACAGATTTTCTGATTAACAGAACTCAAATTGTTAAGATAGATAATATAGAATCAGAACCTGTATCTGTTACCTCTGGTGTTCCACACAGTGGCCACATGTCACCTTTGTTATTTAATATATTTATTAATGATATTGTTAAGTGTTTTACAAATAGTCAATTTAAGTTGTTCGCGGACGATCTCAAAGTATTTAAAAGAATAAAATCTATTGAAGACTGTGAAATGTTACAACAAGACATAACTAATCTAGTCAGACGGTGTGATCTAAATTATATGACTCTAAATATTGATAAATGCAATGTTGTTCATTATCATAAGAAACTTAGTCCATTACAATTTAAATAAAATATCTGTGATGTAGAACTAATGGCTTTAAACAATATCAAAGACCTAGGTGTAATTTTTGATTTCTCTCTTTCTTTTAGCCTGCGTATTGAATCTATTGTAAATACATGTTTGAAACTACTTGGTTTTTTGAAAAGAAATACACAGGATTTTAATAGTATATTTTGCCTAAAAATATTGTTTTTTCACTCTAATAAAGCCAATCATAGAGTTTAACTCAGTAGTGTGGTCACCTTATTATCATATATAGACTTGAATCTGTTCAAAATAAATTTCTTAAATACTGTTCTTAAAAACTTTGTCTAAATTCTAGTTGGATATCTTACGAAACTCTCAGAAATATACAGTTCATTAGAAGATCATAATCATCAATTGATATTGTTTTTCTTGTAAAACTTTTAAGGAATATGATTAGTTGTCCTGAATTGTTGGAGAAGATATCCTTTAATGTACCAGTTAAGAGGACCAGATTCACTCCTCTGTTCTTTATACCATTATGTAAAATGAACTACCTAAAAAATGCTCCCATTCCTAGAATATGTACTAAAGCTAATAACTTAAGTAGTGATCTGGACTTATTCTGTTCATCTCTGGTCAAAATTAAAGCTGTGTAATTCCATATACTTTGAGTATGTGTACTGTTGTAAAATTGGCTACTTGCCGTCAATGTAATAAATAAATAAATAAGTATAATTAATTTATCAGAAAAAAATAGGGGTAGTTGGTGGCCACAATGGTTAAGGTGTTGACATACTGGGTACATACTGGGGTACATAAGGTACATACTGGGTTCCAATCCAGCAACCCTACATTCAAACCTGATATACTTATAAATGAGCTTTTTTCAAAAACACCAGCACCCTGAGGGTAGTTGAAATAACCTCATTTAACAAAAAAAATTACTTTTTTTTTAAAGCTTTGGAGTGTAAATATAAAAAATATTCCTCTGAGCCATACAACAAAAATTTAAGTTATGTCTCCGTTTTAATAACGAGACTTCTTTTAAACAATACTTATCTCAGTGCTTAGGAATGTGTGGGCTAGGAGTTACAGGGCAGTTAACAGACAGTAACAGACTGCTACACAGATGGATCACTTATCAAAGGAAGAGGGAGTGGTGCAGGAATCTACAAACCAAAATTAGGAATCAGCATCTTCTCCCCTCTTGGCAATAACACCTCCGTTTTTCAGGTGGAAATCTGGGCTATCAATGTGTGTTGTAGAACACTTATGGAAAATAAAATTAAGGGAAAAGATATTAAAATCTTTTCTGACACGTCAGGCTAGTCTTAGGGCATTACAAAAAGATTTGTCAACCTCACGACTGGTGGAGGAAACTATAGATCTTATCAATAGGATCTCTTTCAGGTTTGAGAATAAGGTGACCCTTATTTGGATACCAGCACATAAAGGACACCATGACAATGAAAAGGCGGATGGCCTAGCCAAAGAAGGTTCTAATACTGCGTTTGTCAGGCCACAACTGGTATTAACTCACTCTATGAGCACAGCGAAAGAGAGTATCAATAACTGGGGCATGAAACCATTCCTTAGGGAGTGGAATCTATCCCCCGGACACAGGCAATCGAAAGAGTTTGTTAAGGCGATCAAACCAGCAGAATTGAAATGGCTATTCTCTAACTCAAGGAAGGGAATTAGGAGGCTGATAGGTATTCTGACGGGCCACTGCCCACTAAGAAGACACCTCTCCATAATGGGTATTCTACCAGATCCCTTTTGCCATTTTTGCGAAATAAAAGAAGACACGGCTCTGCGAGGTCTAGATTTGAAATCTTTGAAGGAGCGGACATCACCAAATCACTCCCCGAGATAAAATGGTCCAAAATCTTGGAGTTTGTGAACAAGTCCAAGAGATTTATGTAGGACATGTGAGCCGACCAAGTCCCGGACCTTTTAGGGATGGGGTACGAGTCTACCCAGGCATTTAACCCCTCGGGTCTTGATTGCCCACCCTGCATAATATATATNACATATAATGGACAGTAAAGATCCGAATATTTAATTGTTATAGAATAATCTGTACCGTGAATAGGAAAGTTATTCTCTGTAACCATTTTGTGTCATTTAGCAATAAAGATTCTTTTTTAAAAAATCTTTCGTCTAAATCTCGCACATAACTTTTATGTATGGTGTCTAGACTTGGAGTGTAAAAATATAATGTATTCTATGAATGCACCGGTGTATGTAGACTTGAAATGAAATGTTTCACAAAAAAATTTTTTTAAAAATTAATATTTATAACAGAGATGGATAATTGTCAAACTGCTTTTACTGATTTTTTTTCTTCAATTATTAAACAACACTAAATACAAATTTAAATTGAATTCAAAATAAATTAAAATTTAATCAAAATCATTGTATGTTTGACAAGTATTAAACAAACACTCACAGGAGAGAAAAAATCCGTTCACATTGATATTTTTATTTTCTGTAAATATAACTTGAACCTTGAAAAGTTATCTTACTAGATGATTGCTGATTGACCAAATGGTGCAATATTTGTATCAAAATTAGAATTTCCCTCACAATATTTACTTGTACTGGATTTTAGTAGCTTTACTGTACAACATTAACCATTGCCTCTGCCTAAAGAACCTGAGATGATGCATGTTCTGTTGCAATCGTTAATGATCGACTTTCATCAAACGAGTAGCAAATGAAATTGAGCCCCCCCCCCTTAAACAATACAAGATAAAAGCAATTTGGGAAAACATAAATAATAAAAATAAAAGTTTTCCAAGGCGTGGATACTGAGATGCCCCTTGTGTGGCACACTAGTAACTATGAAACAGTTTATTACAGTGGGAACTATTAGCACAAGTCATAGTCAACAAATCCTCTGTTTTGAGTCCCAAAGAACTTGAAACACAGCAGTGATTGCAGCAAGAAACTGATTTTGTACTTGAAAAAGGTAAATGCATATGGTTTGATAGTTCTGCATGGCTATCCCATATGAGTGATGGTATTTATTAGCTTGCTTGTTTTCGATAGGTGTATTTATGGTGGAATATAGAGGTGGCACCTGTTAGATATTTATAGAGTGAATGGTGAGGGATTGTGGTTAGGGTGTTCATCTCATATCTGCCACACTGGCGGTTCTAGGTTAGAATCTTTTTAATTGATAATGGTATGAAAAATGAATTGTAAAGCGGTTTCACCCTTCGTCCAAAACATTAAGCCTTCCTGTATGACAGGATACTTTACTTTTCTACTTTAAAACGAATAGTGGTGAGTACTGGCATAATATCAAATACATAAATGGCGCACCATTTCTTTTAGCTGTACATAGTTTGAAAGGTTTCGTTTTTGTATGATTTTATTTGTTAGTGTGAATGATGGAGTTATGTGAGGGTGCGTTTGTGGCAGAATATATCAAAGTAGGTAAGTTATTTCAAGTTCATTGGGGCGAGTAATATCAAATGCCCTGGTGACTCGACAATTCTTTTTAACTGTACACACCGTTTTGATGAAAGATTAGGTTTTGTATGAATGTATTTTTAGCTTGAATAAGAATGTTGAGTACCCTAAGTACCACCAAAGTTAGATTAGATGTATATTTGGATGAATGTGTATGTTTTTAATCTGTCATTTAAAACTTAGTACTACATATAGAAGGTGCATGAATATTTTATGAGATTACATCCTAATATTCAAGGGAAATAAAAGATCTGGAGTGCCATTTGAACAGGCTGGAAAAAAAGGAGAAGGAATTTTCATAGTGTGTACCTTCACTTAATATTTGTAGCAAAATACTTTTATTTTACCTAATTATAGACTTTAATATGAGAATCATTAATTAATAAGTTGAACTGGCATTTAATCACTTACTCGCGAGTTAAATGTGTCTCTGAATAATGAATATAGATGGGACCCAGGGCCAGTTCAAGCATCAGCTTCATCAGCAGGCAGATCAAAACCAATTTTAAATAAATAAGGAACAGTTTATTGCCAAGATAATTTTAAGCAATAAACAAAAAATAGGAGATAATTTGTGTCTATTTCCTTCATAACATTATCGGGATTATATTATACTATTGTAACAGTGCAATTAATCATAATGTATTATATTATAGTTTTGAAATAAGATAAATATGTATTACAAAAACGAATGCATACCAGCAGATGTCCTTGACCCTGTATTTACCATCGCCCATTCCTGCTCTTGGTCAGTGACTACAGAAATTTCATTTGGCTTCCATTCTATGCATTTTCCAAAGCTCTGTAAATTTTATTATTTTGCTGTATTGTATTAATTTGTTGTTACAAAATTTAATTCGCTAGACAACAATATTGGGTTGAAATTGATTTTTTTTAAATTACTGCATCATTGTTTACTAACACTGAATCGTTTGGAAATTAGCTCAACATAAAATTTTACTTTGTAGTTAAGTATGAAATAACTAAAAAGTTAAAAAATAACATTAACGGTGATTGTAGGTGTAATTACGGTAAATAAGAAAAAATTATATTACAAGGTTGTAATGTATGTCACTTGAAAAATAAATAGAAAATTAGAGGGAAAAATTATATAAGAGGTAATAAAACAAATAAACACTTCCTCTTGGTATAATTGTTAATTGTCAACAAATTAATCAATAATAACTGTGACCCTCGTGTTTGTTGTCAGTCTAGAAGCCTCAAAATCAAGGTCTAAAACTTGACATGCTTCCAAATCTAGCATAAATTCTAATTTAATTATGGAGATTTTTATTAATATTGAAATTTAACTGATATTGCCACTATAGTACAATTGTAGTGTTAAAAAGTTTATACTTACATAAACGACAATACTGAGCGTCCCTCCATTGACCATGTCATCATCTTTTGAATTTGGAGTATCGAAACACACTCCGTAATGACTGAATATCTCCTAAAATAAATATATTTTAAAAAAAATTAAATATAAAAATACATGTTAACAGCAAAATTTTTTCATATTTGGAAATATATTATTATTCAATTGCATAATATATATTCTACTAAATTGTCGATTTATCATATTTTTTCCAAAGTTGTACTTGTAATAAAAATAACACCAAAATAATATAAACATAAAATAACACAAATAAAAGTGGTTGTTTCATTCCGTGTTTAAAAAACCTGACCAAAGATATATTCCACTGACAAAACCAGAAAATACTAACAAACTCGTAAGGTACATCATTTATAAATGATATGGATCATTAGAATAACTGCGTATAAAAATTGGAGGATTCAAGTTTACACTGACAATGGACAAATTCCAATTAAACTCAAAATTTAAAAAAAATATATATCACTAAATGATTCCAGTGTTTTGGTGAATTTTCTGTCAAACCATCATAATTAAATATTATTTATTATAACTACAAAATTTCTGATTTCATTTAATTTCGTTTTCATTAATATAAGTATGTTGCAATTAATATAATGATAAAAATACATTTATACAGTTTGAAATAAACAACAAAATACGAGTGTCCGGTTTTGTCTTCGTGTATTTCTCATATCAAAACAATGATGTATCCACATTTTTAACAATCAATATTTGTACTAAAAATTAAGATAAATGAATAAAAAAAATTAAAAAAACACTATATTATGAAATGAAATGATAAGATTTGTGTTAAATGAAAAACTTCTTGCTATAAAGAAAACTTTTGGCTGGATTTCCTCACTGAAGATGACACAATGTTGAAATAAGTTTGAGTTTACAAACCCAATAAGTGACCCAATGTCAGTTCATTGAAAACTATACTATAATATAATAAATAAGAGAAACTAAAAGGTCTCTTTACAACCTTGTGCACCATGACCAATATTGGTCTATTGTGAAATATTAACAAATTAAATTAATCAGTCAGCATGATAGACTCTCGGCTCAAGACACCGCGGTCGCGGGTTCGATTCCCATCACCCTGGCCCTTTTTTTCCACACAACCCCCCCCAAAAAAAAGTATATGCATCGCATATGAGATAATGTCCCTTGGCCAATACGCAAAGTTCATAAGGCCATAAAAACTTAATTTTGTATTTTTTAGTTAGCAGCAATCTCAAATTAGTTTTGTGGAACTGAAACTACCTTAAATTTAAACTATGAAGAATAATATTAATCCATACATGCTTAGCAGTCATAATTGACCTTATTAATTATTTACAGAATAAGTTTAGTTGATTTGTTAAATTAATAATAAGTAGTCAAGTCTAATAGCAGGACAAAACCGGACCATAATCAATGTATCCAACATAAAATAAGTGAAATATCAGTAGTATAATGGCCACTAAAGATGGCATAACCAACAGCATCAATTATAATCTGTAATCAACACAAATGTATACAGAAGTATAACTTACAGTTTTTAATTTCTATTTACTTTTGACATTTCAAATTTTATCAAAAGGTCCACCCTGTACAGTGATTTCTGGCATGAACTTCAGAACAAATGATCTGTGCTACAAGTTTGTTTTTATGTTGCAAGTGAGCCCGCTTAGCATAAATGTTAATGAAATATTGGAATCACAAAACATCACAAGTATCTGATATCACCATTATCATGCCTTTGCAAACTATTACTATTAAGTTTAACTAATCTTTAAAGAAAAAATTAACTAATCAATAACTAAAAAAGACCATATAATGAAGTTACTGGATGTCATAATATAAAGGAAGTGTTACATGTCAGTGAAAGTGAGATTTGTCATTGAGATTAAAAACGATTAAAATCATGTACAATGAAAAGTACTTTGGTACATGTTTATAAAAAATATTAAAAAAATGGTGAAAGTTTTAAATAGAAGTACAACTCTTATATTAATTATTAATCCATTTACGTTTTAGTGGTCAATTGACCAAGTAACTTCTTTCAATTAATTATTCTTTCTATGTAAGGTCTTGGTTAAGATAAAAATCTTATATTAATTGCCATCAAAACACACCTGAACTATAAATCACTTCGTTTAAATCATTTTCGTTTATCCTTGCTGTTTTGGCCTGTCACATTTCAACTTTTTTATATTTTCTCAACTTTTTTATATTTTCTCAACAATCCAAAATGTTTGTGTCGACATGACAACAGAGCTGTGCTCTTTTGTGTTTGTGTAACTGTTAGAGTAGGCAATGATAAAAAAAAATTGAAGCACCGATCAAAAATTGCAAAAGAAACGGTAAAACAAAAAACATAAAAAAAGATAGGACAATACAAATCAGCCCAGCAAGCATTGAAAACATCTGAGGATTAATTAACCAAATTAATTTCTAGTTTTACCAAGACATCAAATTTCCCAAACAATAATTTGCAATTTCAATTTAAAAGAAATGGTATAAAAAAGATAATTTAAATATTAAATTTGCTTTTTCTTATGTTTTATGTTGTTAGTGATAAATATAAAGGAAGAAAATATCTTGTAATTGTTAATATACCCTCTTGGCTTTCAGCCGAGGGGATTTTGTGAACCATATAAGATTGGAATAGTGACTTCATTTAAATTTTAAGAAAGGCTATTCTGCAAAAAATTATAGTTTCAAAACGTTCTTTTGATGTGTTTTTATTGGCCTTCTGATATCACATATTGTATATGTATCAAGGAGGCAGAAAAAAAAAATAATCAAGTTTTCAGCCTATTTAATGCTTTCCTCGATACTACAATTTGTTACTTACATAAAACAAATAGGATAGAAATAATTTGTTTGGCGTGTGTGGACTTAGAGATGAATCATCTAAACTAACAGAATTGAACTTTTGGACACTATTTTTTTTTTAAATTGAATGATTATAAGTGAGGCTTGAACACGAACTTGTTCAAGACCAAAACTGTATCCAGGCCTTCAAGACATTAAGCTATTCTTGGCTGCCAAATACAGTGAGCATATTTATTTATTCATGTATATATATTTATTTAATATATAACATTACCTCAACATTTTATAATAAAAAAAACACTAGTGTGCACGATTTTTAAATTTATAGTTTTAAATAATAACATTTNTATATATATATATATTTTTTAAATTTATTTAACGGTATATAAAACTTTAATATCCACTCCTCAATTTTGCAAACATTGTGATCATACTAGCCAAAATCATCAAAATAATAATAATAATAATACAAGAGGAAACCAGCACGTGGAGACCCATTAGCTTAGGATAAATTAAATTCAAGGAAAATAAATCCCCTTCATAAGGCAAAGCCTGAGGACAATAAACTCAAACATTTCCCCCCCTTTTCATGTTGCACACCCGTTCTTAGTTTCACGTGGTCCACCAGTATAGGGCTCCCCTAAGGTATGCAGGGTGGTGGAAAATGTAAAAAAAGTGACAATTGACAAAATTATATGATACATTTAATAAAATAAAATAATAAAAAGAACAAGAGAATAAAAGCGTAAGAGAAACGAAAGTAGGCGACAAAATTGGTCACACCAAAGTGTAGGCTGGCCAAAATGATCCGAAATGACCAATCTACACCTTCATGCTGTGGATCTCTGCTGTAAATCTCACGTTTTAATTTTTTTTTAAATTTTTACTTCGTCAAAAAAATTTTCACCATGTGTAGAAATATGTAGTGATTAGTGACTGTTAATCGATAATTATTCAGAAATCGTGAGTTGCGGTCTGGTGTGATGTAGGTCTCAGAAAAACATTTTCTTTATCGTGCCAACGTTTCGATCTTTATTGAGATCAGCTTCAGGGCCTGGGATTTACATTGTTTACATTTAACAAATACATGTAGAATGTGGAAAAAAGATCAAAGAATACCAGGTCCTGAAGATGATCTCAATAAAGATCGAAACGTTGGCACGATAAAGAAAATGTTTTTTTGAAACCTACACCACACCAGACCGCATCTCACGATTTCTGAATAATTTTCACCATGTGTTGAACAAGCATTCTGTGTTTCTCTCTCTACATTATAATATGGATGTTTAATTATAAATGTAAAAAAAAATTAATTATTATTATTATTATTATTATTTTTTTGGGGTTTGGGAAAATTAATTAGCAATAGAAAAAACAGCATGTTTGTCATGTGTTTCATTTATATGGAATCACGTTTTTAAACATATAATTTTCATCATTTGTATAAACAGAAATCCATATAACTATCAGCAAAATAGAACTATTATAAATTACGAGGTAATTATTTGTTCATGTTATTATATTCACCCAGGATTTAATTATATATAATTATTCTTTCTTTATTAAACGAATATCAACGACATTGACAAAAATGAAAAGTTGTGAAATATTTCGTTAACTGTCTCTTACCCTCCCTTGAGATGTGGGAATCTCGGAAGAGGAGCTCCTTTTGGTTAACTCAGGCTCGTTCATCACTAAATTCTCACAAATCCTTAGAAATGATCGCCCTCGATCGACAACGGGTCCAGTCTTCTTTAACGTTTTCCTTTATAACACACGAGTGTTATCTTCTTGTAAAGACTTATCTAGTATCTATTCGACCTTTAAACCCAATATTATTTAAAGAGGCGAAATTATAAAATTGCAAACAAATGTAACGTTGGGAAATAAAAGTCGACCTTCTACATGGATATCACCGTCATGACGGATTAAAAGTCTAAACCGACCAATTGTTTGATTTTTTTAGAAACACTTCCAACTTAATAATACAAACAAGTGTTAAAAGAGACATATCAGCCTTGTAACTCGATTTCAATCTATCGAAATATCGTTAGTTATAGGGGAAAATAAACTAATATCAAATCGATTTATTAGTGTAAAAAAAAAGTTATGTATACTTTAACAGCATTTTGCTAATAAAAAAACTTAAATTGTAAACATATAAAAACTGAAAATTTTATGTTGCACCATTACATGAAAATTTTGTAGATTTAAGTGATTTTATGTCACGAATTTTTGTACCTTTTAACTGGGGCATTAATCAGTTAGCCTTAAGTTGAGGTTTTACTCCAGAATGTCTAGTTCTATGTCAATGTTTTTGAACTTTACGAAGAAAAACAGGATCAATTCAATTATGTGATTTATGCGGCGACGTTGGCGTTGTTTCTTTTTATACGAGGACTATTTTAAAACATTTTTTCAAATGTTTTTTAATTAATGATAAATGTTTTGTTTACTTCATGAATTTCACTTCTGGACGCAAAAGGATGGAATTTCCGTTGACAACTTGGATTTCGGGGCTTTTGTGTAAGTATACGGCCATCGGATGGTCCATTATACGCTTCTGTTATGTTTAAAAATGGAATGATTTTTGACATAATTTTTTGTGACAAATCTAACTGTACTTCTCACTTTACAGTTAAACTGTTATTCTGTATTTCTTTCACCTAATTTAAAGGAATCGTTCGGAATTTTAAAATTGATAATCAGGACAATGAGTCTATTTGGTTTTTTAATTGAAATCAAATTATTAAACTCAATTACCAAGTAATGAAATGTAATCAAAATATCTCAGCTCTGAATAAGACGACCTCGACAGCACCGATTCTCTCAGCACGGTTGCCGTCTGGTATGGCATCAACTAGAGCATCTTGACAAAATGGTGGTTGTCAGATAAACAGACACATGTCTAGGGGGGTAATAAAATGAGAGACTTCCCGATCTCCAAGCTTCCTGCCCTCTGACTAAAAATGCAATAAAAAACACGATTAAATGAAAGTGGCAGCATCACTGGGATCGGCGGAGAAGCTTTCATGCATCAAGACCACTGACGATAGGAGGTCTTCAGAGAATTTGTCACATAGAAGAAGAATCCTCCTCACTTAATTAGCCATATGAGGTTGAAACACAGTCAGTTATTTTTGGATCAAAGTCTGCATATTATACAACATGTAGATAAAGGTTGCTTGATGTGTCTTATTTAATAGTCTCCATGAATAGAGCATGTAGGAATGCCAGCTGGTATGAGTATGGCAGCAAGTGTTTGGGACCTCAAGTTAAGATTTTTGGCGGAAACACGGTTGTTTTTTGTATATAGTAATTAAATATGTATTGTTTTCCTTCTAGTGTGTGTTGATACTTAATATATTTATTATTTGAAGATCGTGAGATGCGGTCTGGTGTGACGTAGGTTTTAGAAAAACATTTTCTTTATCGTGCTAACGTTTTGATCTTTGTTGAGATCATCTTCTTGGCGTGGGATTTATAAACTTTGTTTAAATTATACAAATGCATGTAGGATGTTAAAAAAGTGAATTTATACAATGCTAGAAATTTTAGATTCAATCAAAGTATTGATTAGTATAGAATACAAATACTAGCCTTGTATAAATTCATTTTTTTTCCACATCTTAGATGTACTGTATAATTTAAACAATGTTTATAAATGTGTGGTGATTAGTGACCGTTAATCGATAATTATTCAGAAATCGTGAGATGCGGTCTGGTGTGTTGTAGGTTTCAGAAAAATTCTTTATCGTGCCAACGTTTCGATCTTTGTTGAGATCATCTTCTAGGCCTGGGATTTATAAACATTGTTTAAATTCTATGAATACATGTAGGATGTTAAAAAAGTGAATTTATACAATGCTAGAAATTTTAGATTCAATCAAAGTATTGATTAGTAGAGAATACAAATACTAGCCTTGTATAAATTCATTTTTTTTCCACATCTTAGATGTACTGTATAATTTAAACAATGTTTATAAATGTGTGGTGATTAGTGACCGTTAATCGATAATTATTCAGAAATCGTGAGATGCGGTCTGGTGTGTTGTAGGTTTCAGAAAAATTCTTTATCGTGCCAACGTTTCGATCTTTGTTGAGATCATCTTCTAGGCCTGGGATTTATAAACATTGTTTAAATTCTATGAATACATGTAGGATGTTAAAAAAGTGAATTTATACAATGCTAGAAATTTTAGATTCAATCAAAGTATTGATTAGTAGAGAATACAAATACTAGCCTTGTATAAATTCATTTTTTTTCCACATCTTAGATGTATTTGTATAATTTAAACAATGTTTATAAATCCCAGGCCCCGAAAATCACGATTCGCATATCACGATCTCCGAATAATCATTGATTTACGGTCACTAAACACCACACACTTAATATATTTATTGACATGAAAGTGTAGGCTGCAAAAACAGGTTTAAACTGTGTCTGGGTAAATCTCTTTCACAACAAGCTTGTACCGTTTGAAACCAAACTAAAATTTTATAACAATGTCCTGCGCACAGTGGTATGTTAAAGCTCTCAAATATGGGGTTTCCAGTCCTACAAGGTTGTGGAAAGATTTCAACGTTTTTTTGTTAAAAAACTTTTCAGCTTACCATCTTTCTCCTCCGATTACATGCTAACGGTAGAATCCTGTTTGCCTCCTCTATTCTCGTATACCTTTTCCCTCCACCTAAAATATATGTCAAAAATACTGAGCCTCCCAGATGATCGACTGCCTAAAATAATCGCTCTACAGATAACTAGAAAGAATATCTCCTGGTATAATCAATGTGCTTCTCTAGCCCAGAAATACTCATGCCCCTGGCAAAACTTACAAAATAAACGAAGTTCGTCGAGAAGCTTGAACAAGGCGAAAAGCTCAGAAAGGTTCTACTTGTATAAGGAACTTTTTGATGAACACCTACTGTCATATAAACCGAGCCTTTCCCAGGACCTTAATATTAGAGATTCTTGTGGGATGTTCAAACTAAGAGGAGAATCGTTATATTTGAAATTCAAACCCTGGGTTTTGAATGATCCTCGCGATGAAACTTGTCCACTTTGTAACAGCCACACCAGGGAAGATTCATATCACTTTTTGGGAGTCTGCTCTCTTCTCTTGAAATATTGGAATATCTTTCTAATCAAGTATCCCTTTACCACTAATTTCCTTTGCTTGGCACGCCTGGAGAGTGAGATAAGAGTGGCTTTCAGATATGAATTAATTGTCGTCCCTGTACATATACTTTTACTGCTTTGTTTTTTAGTTCTCTATCAGTTCTCAAGAGGTAATTTGTTCTTATTTAATTCTTTTTGTTTTCTTCTTTTTTCTCATATTTCCAGCTATTTTAATTCATACACCTGCTATATGTAAATTTTCTCTTCGAATTTCTTTTGTTTTAATATTTCTGTATTTGTAAGCTTTATTATGCAGTAAACTCAGCAGACGGCTACTAGCCTATTATACTTTGTATCAGTGTTTCTATTTTTTGTTTGTATCAATTCTAATAAAGTTTTGTGTATTGTATATTGTATTGTATTGATATGAAAGTGTAGTGTGAAAGAGGCGATGGTAGAATATTGAGTACACATTGATCTTCAATTAGGTTAGTCATATAATAAGTGTAAAGGAATATCAATTTTCCACAACCTGAGTATGTACATAAGTAAAAATGTATTTAGGAGTGAGTGATGAATGTATTTTGGATTGTGTTGGGAGTTGAAATGACCTAACTGTTGACAACACCCAGGTCCCAACCTCGGTACCTGGTTGGATACAACCAAGAACTAACCCCGGGGTGGATGATTCTTGAGGTCTGCCAATAATTGATTGTAAATTAGAAAAGGTGAAATTGTACTGCAAGAAGTAATAGTCTCAACTCTGTATATGTGCGAATGTGAGTACGTGCATGGGCAGATTTGAGATTACATAAATCAGAGGTAATAACAACAGAAATTTTATTAAAATTAACAAGCACTTTCAACTTTAACCAAAAATAACCAAGACCTTGTGATTTGCATGCTCAGGCATAAAGGTATCAATAATTACAGCAGAAATGTATCTATGTCTTCCTGGTGTAGGTTTCCAGGCACATTGGTATAACTGGAACAAACAAGATAAGGCATCAAAGTTAGCCATGATAAGACCACACGCTGTATGTCCAGCGGATCTAAAAAGAAAGATTTCTAATGCGCTAAATAACGAATGGAGAATCCATTGGACTGAAATAAATACATCTAATTTATACAAATTTAAAAAATACATTGACCCCTGGTATACGGAAAGGCTATATGAGATTGTGCAAAGGTCAGTAAAAGGCTACCTTCTCATGGAGGTGATACCATCCAGGCACCAATTGAGTAGAGTACAAATAACAGACTGCAAAGAAGTAAGATATCTCACATGATCTATGCTTGGTCTTGGGGCACGGCAGATGGCACAGATTGTTTATCCAATTACTCAGGGTGATACATTTTTTAAATTTATCTAGATCCTACCAAATGGAGGAGCTTATGTTTTTGTTAAATGTACTTAGGTCTAGGTACAACAAAGATTTCATTGTTATGCCAAAGAGTATACAACCCTTCAAACAAACAAAAACCTAGATAAGCATATTTTATTATATTAACTTTTGGCACATTTTGCCATAATTATTAAGTAAAAAAACAGCTACAATTATAGCTTGAGGAGAAAATTATTAACTATAAATTGATTAACTAGTTTTAGTGGTCCACTTGACCAATTATATTTCAATTAATTAAGATTTTGAATTGAGATAAAAAAAAGTCATTGTCACAAGCGGGATTCGAACCCACGATCTTTGGCTAGATACGCCGCTGCTCTACCACTTGAGCTTATTACATTTTATTAGATTTCATGGTCTGCTTGACCAAATGAATTCTTTTCAATTAATTAAGGTTTTGGTTGAGTTAAAAAAGTCAGGGTCAAGCGGGATTCGAACCTATCTCAACCAAAACCTTAATTAATTGAAAAGAATTTATTTGGTCAAACAGACCACGAAACCTAATAAAATGTAATAAGCAAAATGAAAAATACTTCACTAAAGCTCTCCGTGGCCATTTTATTTGTCGCTGAGAATCAAATAGATTACACAATTGAAAAATGGCAAAAATCAGAGAAAGGGTTGAGATGGGAAGTTAGTGTCTGAGTGAATCAAGTCCGGTAGCTCAATTGGTAGAGCAGCGGCGTATCTAGCCAAAGATTTTTTTTTTCTTTAATACATATATAAAAGGAAGCCAAAAATAGTGATATAATAAAACTATACAAATATCAAAAAGAAGAAGGAAAATAAAAAATTTGAAAACAAGAATATTTTGAGGAACAAATTTAAACTAAAAAACAGATTCTTCTAAATAAACTCAGTAGTTGGGTCCCCATTCTCATGGTAATTTTTTTTTAAATATATTTCAAATGACACATAACCGTATGGCATACGTATATAATGGATCATGAACAACACATAATATTTTTAACTTTGTTTATTGTATTTTAAAGTTATGGGGAAAAGAAGAATGTATCCAATTGCCCGATTATCAAAGGGAAAAAGGCTTATGCACAGGGCAGGGACATAAATTGGTCCTTGAGTAATAAAAGACCAAAAAAACTTAGAGATAACTTGAAAGAATTTGAGGTAATTAATTTTGTTTCCAAATTGATTTCTTTATCGTTACATTTATTTTTTTTTTTTAAGGATCTTTTGCTCAGCAGCAGAATACTAAATATATCATGGAGGAATCCAACATCAATACAAATTTTATTTGGAAACGGTTTACTCTGTTACATACAGCTCAATCCATCAACAGGAGATATAAACGAATTTATCTACGACAAATATATGATTGGGAAACTAGTTAGCCATTATGTTTCTGACGGTAAATAATTTTGTTAATTGCAAAGATTTATTTTGTTAATGATTTTATTACTGTTTTAGTAATACTTGGGTCTAAGCATGCGATTTTTGTCTACACGGACAACCAAATTACTGTCGTCTACTTTACAAAGCCATCTTTAAGATTTGGACTAGTCAAGAAATGGAGCTCTCTTGACATGAAAATAAACACTGAACATCTCTCTGGGCCTTCTGGTCGTCGATTGGAGAAACAGCTTTCGCTCAATGCTTCTGGTGATTTGGTAAGTCAATGTAGAAATAAAATCAACTGTCACCTTTAACTTTTTATTTATTTATTTTATTATTATTATTTATTTTTTAATAAGATATCTGTCTGGTGGAAGACTGGCAATGATGAAGTTTATCCTTGGAGTCCTGTTGTTAGGGAAGAAGATAGGGCCAATATCCATGTTTATTCTTTAAATGGGTAAAATAAGTTAATATATTATTGTATTTACTGTCATTTAACTGTAGAAAAACAATTTTAAAGCAGTCATTTTGTTTTTCAGAACTAATATTCAACTTTATTGTTTTTATCGATCCGAATGTGAGCCAATTGCAGTCCAATTTAGTGTAACTCAATCAAATGTTATTTTTGTTTTTCAACAGAGGATAACAAAAAAGGTGAGAACACCTAAAGTCACACAAATATATTTTGATTATTTTTTTTTCCTCTCTTGTGCAGAGTGAAGTAACTATAGAATGGCTGACTTCTGAAGTTCACTTTGAACAGTTTGAAACAAATTACAGCCTGTCTCTACAGATACCGACTTATTCTTGTGTGCTCTCATTAAGCCCGAAAGAAGACAAATTGCTTGTAGCGTGCATCGATGGATCGTTACTCATTGCAGACAGCTACGGAAATTTATTAAATACTATAAAAATAACATTTGTAAGTTATAGTATTTATTTTTTAAGTAAAAACACAATTTTATTTTTAATTATTTATCTGTTTTACTTAAAGATTCCTACGATTGGTTGTTGGCATCCTGATGGCTGCCTTTTACTTATTGGTAATGAACGAGGGCAGTTACAATGGTTTGACAGCTACCTTAATTGCGTCAGATCTCAGTTTTTAAGTGAAGACTCAACACCTTCTGCAGTTTTAGACATCGGGTCATTTTTTAAGTGAGACTTTTTTTTAAGGTGTACCAGAAAGTTCTGTCCGTTCTGTTTACAAGTTTCAGAAAGCGCATATTCATTTATTGACGCATATTTGTCTCTCTTTTTATCACTGAATACTGATCTAGCAAATGAACTAAAATGAAGAGATTTCATGTTAAGTCTAGTACGCACTGGGATTCTTTGAGTCGATTCATGTTGTGGGGCAGAGTCGGGGCTGTGTAGATTCATTGTCGCAATGCAGCCCCGACTCTGCTCCACGACAAAGAATTGTGTCCAGACCAAAATTAAGTTCACATTCATCAGTGCCTATGAGGAACTAACTCTTAAAGGAATTTCCCTTGCTCTTTTTTGCATTGTACGTAGTGAATCCAATCAGAGATGCATTAAAAAACGCCCAAAAAGATGGTGGGTTCGACAAATATTTCACGGCGGGAATAGCACGGGAAAAATATTTTGGACACATTGCGATTAAATTAATGGCGCAGGGTTCAGACATTTTTTGAGGATGTCCCCGACCGATTTTGAAACCATTTTAATGAAAGTTGGTGGTCAAATTTCCAAGAAAGATACCAACTTTCGGGATGCCGATACTCTCCGGCCAACAGATTAGCTGCCACTCTCTGGTTCCTAGCGAGTGGAGACTCGAATACTCATGTACGTACACCTTCAGGATTTCAAAACAATCAATATCAGATTTCGTTCCAGAAGTGTGCGAAGCCATCATTCATTGTTTTTTGGGCCAAACCGTTCAATGTTTGACTTTTCAATTTCCGATTTCTGTATTCCGTAAATGATACACCCCACAACCACCGATGGGAATGCATATCTTCAAAAAAACTAATGCCAACTCGGTACTCCACAACATACCTTTATACAATATACTGTCAAAATCTTCAAGAAAACACTACAACGTAAACTAAATAAATGAAGCAAGAGCACTTGTTCCGATTCATGTCCGCACTGGCAAATGTTGTGCAATATAGAGTCAAAGAATCACATATTGGATGGGATTCAAAAGAATCCGAAAATGTTAGCCCGCAACACACCAGATTCATCGCAACAATGAGTCGGGGCAGCCCGGACTCAGGTTAGACACAGCCGATACTCTCCGGAGATTCAAAGAGTCGACTCAAAGAATCCCAGTGCGTACTAGGCCTTAGTATTAAGTGTACCCATGGCTACTGATAAAGTTCGTTTACGCCACTGTATTTTGTACGAATTCGAGCAAGAAAGAAATGCTACAGAAGCGTGTAGAAATGGATTGAAAGTGTTTGGTGAAGGTACAGTTTCTCTGATAAAACGTGCAGAAGATGGTTCAAAAAATTTTCAAATAGGTTATATTTCGACCTTTCTGATAAGGCACACTCTGGGCGACCATCCTTGACTGACAAGATCATATTGGAGCAAAATCCTTTTTTGACAACATTGGAGATTGTGGAAAGGTTTGATTTGGCGCAACAAACCATTTTAGACCATATTCAGAAACTAGGGTTGCTGTGGAAATATTTTAGATGGGTGCCACATGAGTTAAGTTCTGAGAAGAATATGAATGATTGAGTCACCATATGCACATCTCTCCTTGCACAGAATAAAATCGAACCCTTCTTGGACCAGATGATAACTTGGGATGAAAAGTGGATGGAATATGTATGTAAACATCATAAGGAAAGGGTCTGGAAAGCCTGCCCCCTTCACCTCTAAACTGAAGTTGATGCTGAGTAATTGGATGTTGAGTATATGGTGGGACATATAGGAGTACCAACGTATTTTGAACTAATTAATTAAGGTTTTTAGTTGAGATAAAAAAGTCAATGGCACGAGCAGGATTCGAACCCACGATCTTCGGCTAGATACGCCGCTGCTCTACCACTTGAGCTATCGTGACCTCGATCCACTCGGACACTAACTTCCCATCTCAACCCCACCTTTTGAATTTTCCCTCCTTTTTGCCATTTTGCCATTTTTATCTCAACTAAAAACCTTAATTAATTATAATATATTAATTGGTCAAGCGGACCACGAAATTAGTGAATTTAATGATTGAAATGAAGTATACTTCAACGATAGCTCAAGTGGTAAAGCAGCGGTGTATCAAGCCGAAGATTGTGGGTTAAAATCCCGCTCGTGCCATTGACTTTTTTATCTCAACTAAAAACCTTAATTAATTATAATATATTAATTGGTCAAGCGGACCACGAAATTAGTGAATTTAGTATTTTGAACTGTTGAAACCGGGCAAAAAGCTAAATTCGGAGAGGTACTGTCAGCAATTGAATAATTTAAAAACAGCACTCCAAGGAAAGAGGCAGGCAATGTTCAATAAGAAGGACATTCATGATAATGCCACATTCTGCTTTGAGTACTTGTCTGAAACTCACAGAGCTAGGCTGGAAAATCCGATATTACCATACGAGGCGAACATAGCACCCTCTAATTATCACTTGTTTGTGTCCTTACAAAATTTTTTGCTGAGCAAAAAATTCAAAACCGAAGAAATTACACAAGCACTGATTCAATTTTTCACCTCTAGGGACAAGGCATTTTTTATGGATGGGATCAAAACCCATCATGCTGCCAATTTGTCATAAATAATGATAGAACTTTATTATTCAATAAAGTTTTGAAAAACCTATTATTTTGTTTTATTCTAACAATGGACAGAACTTTCCAGTAAACCTGACAGTAAAGCAATTAAATGTGTAACTAATTATATAGTTAATTAAATATAAGCAATTTTAGGTATCAGCCTACACTTCTTTCGATGACATGGAATAGGAAATCAAGTAATGTTGATTCTCACAGCGATGATTTGTTACTCTTACATTTTGAACGGTAAATATAAAATGCACAAATCAATTTTGATGTAACACTTTTAATGCTGGATCATTTTGGTGGCTTAATACTTTTATTACTTGAGGTTGAATCTGTGAGGCAAAACTTTCAACTTGATCAGAAAACTAGTGACAATAGGTAGTAGACCAAAATGTCCAGTCAGTTACTAATATTTATTAAGATGCAATTTTAAAAATTATAACACATCGTTTATCTCAATTTTTATATAGTTTCTCAGAGAAATAATTTTCAGAGGTCCATTGGTAATTGTAAAATTGATAACCGGTTATGATGGCTGTAAAAGATTGTCCTCGGATGTCATCGTTTCACAATATCTTAAGGATCAGAATGCAATGAGTGCGGTTAATCTTTTATATACAATAGACTGGGAACACGAAGGACAGTCAGCATTATCATCTTTACAGCTCATTATTTCAAATCAGTTAAAACATCATTTAACCCCTGATCGAGAAGGTAAGATAAGCTCAATTAATACCAGTAGTATTTCTAAGTATATTTTTTTGAAAATTGAACTATTTGCCTTTTATGTATATAGAATTTAGTTTAATTAATATTATCACATGCATGTTTGTATTTTGAAAATAATTTTAATACTCTTGATCAAAAATTTAGCTATTTTGGAAAAAGCACTTGGCAGTTACCACAATCCGTTCAGACCAATACCACAGAGCATTCAGGGAGAATTTGGTGATTCAGTGTATGATCTTACTAGAAGATTTTTTCATCACTTGTTGAGGTAGATAATCCAGTTTTTTTTTAATATCATACATAGAAAAGTTCATTCGTTAATAAATTCCATCCACAGGTATCAAGTGTTCGAGAAAGCTTTCAGGTTAGCCATCGATTTAGATGATCATGATTTGTTTATGGATATCCACAATTATTGTAAGAAAATCGGAAACACAAATATGGCTACTGCAGCCTTGGAAAGAGCAGAAGAAATCCTCTATTCAAATGAATCAGGTGTCTTGTTTTTGTAAATTAGTAAACATGCTTAACGCCCAAGGGTTAAACCACTTTACAATACATTTTTCGTGTTATGATAATTGTAAGCCATGAGATATGATGGGATTCAAACCCACTCGGCTACCACTGACCTCTTTAATTTTATAAAATTACATTATATTAAAAGAGAGTAAAAAGGCTTATTTCAACATTTCTAAATGTTTACTTGCAGTTTCCTACTCTTGTCTTTCAATGTTTATTTATTATCAATTTAAACTTTTGCAATGTGCGTTGAAACCTAAACCATAATGACCTAGCTTTAGGCATTAAAACTTATTTTATTTGTAGATTCATCAAGTTCTGGGTCATCAAATTCAAACTGCTCCTCTTATTCAGAATCGACCGAATCTAGTTTAATGTTATGCCAGCCGGCCAAAAAAACCCAACCCCTTCCCTTACTCTGCACATCCAGGCCTCCGCCTCGCAATCAGATTAAGTTTCCTAATAAAATATCTCATACATTTAAATACCAGGTATCTTAATTTTTTTTTTTTAATTAGTCTATGTAGTTTCAATCTTTGATTTATTTATATATTACAGGTGCCAACAGAATCAACGATATCTGAAATTAGCCCGAATGCAGTGGGCATTCCGACTGTTGGTGATTACGATTCCATGTTCATGGGTAATATGAGAAGGGACAGCAAACTGAACAATCAACTGTATTCGACTAGTTTTATAACCGATATTAAAGAATTACCACCGATAAAATCAGTCGACGCACCAAGTCAAGACCAGGAAGTTAAAAAACTGTCCGTCACGGAAAATGGAAAGATTAAAGTCGTCCACTTTGGTCTGGTATAACATAGATTCGTAAACAAATTTATTTGTTATTAATAATTAGACTCTAAAAGTCAACATAGTAATTAAGAAGTCTAATATATTGTTGTCATATTTATTTATTTTTTAGTACAAATATTTATTATTTTATATTGTTTTATAATAAAAATATATTTTTTTATGATTCATAATATTAAATTATTATTTCAACAAGGCTGTTATCATTAAAACTGCGGACTACACTCTGCTATGAGAAGTGTCGCATACTCTGGGGAGTGAATGTACCAGACTTGTCTTGTGTTGAAAAGTGGAAGGATAGTTGGAATAGTACCATGATGCTGAATACGCACTTTCAGCTGGCTCCCTGAGGAGCCATGCATTAAAAACCTTTACAAATTTGACAATTTAAGGCAATAACAAGACGTTAGTTAAGAAAACAGGACAAAAATATGAGAGAGCCAGTGAGAAAAAGAGCAAAAGAAAAATTACAGTAAACACCAAGTAAAAAATTTTGGTTAAGGTTTGTCATTTGAATGTTATTATTCCTTTGTTTTGAAACACAAGTTTTCAATAGAAGTACTTGAATTTCCATTGATTGTAATTTTGTTTTGAAACGCTTGGGTGAAGTATACCGAGTCGCTTATATCCTTTGAGTCTGGTGTTTATGTGGTTCTTCCAGTTGAGTTCCCTGTCCAGGTGGATTCCCTAGTATCTTATAGCCCCATCCTTATGGCTTCATGGAGATACGTCAACATGCAGTTATGCTGGTGAAGGGAGGTTGTAGTGTGATCATTTGAAGTATATACTGCATTCCTATTTGTCGTATGTGTCTGCATATTCGGCAATATTCAAATTGTAAACCATCTATGGTTGAGAAGATTGCATGTATAAGAAAAAAGAAAAGATACATATAAAATGAGTTAGAAAAACAAAAATAACCTTAAAAGAAGGGGTCAAGTACATAAATGAAACTAGATACTCTGGGATTGAAGTGGCAGGCAAGATGGGCATAACCAATGGGATGGCTAAATTTTATTGTAGAATTGAAGATCTCTAATAGATGAGAAGCTGAAAGCCGCTGCATACCAAAAAAGGAAAGGTGCAAGCCAGACTACCAAAAAATTAAAAAGTCCTCTATGACCACATAACCAGTGTATGATTCAAATAAACAAGCTTTCTTCGTAATTTAAAAATACAAATTAATTGAGACAAAAACAATCAGACCGAATGGTAAGCTAGAAGGCAATACATATTAAAGAGAGTTGAAATAAGAGGAGAGAGAAAAATAGGCAGAAGTAGCACGAGAGACACAAAATCTTCTTGGCTAGCTGAAATTACTCTTGCTTATAAAGTAGATAATTGGTCATTCCAGAAAGAGAAGTTCACACAGAGAATTATATTTCTGAGAGAAATCTGTCCGACTTTTAAACCAAAATAATTATTTTTGTTTATAATTTATACAGCAAATTACCTGGGAATACGAGATAGGGTAAGTTATAGGGTAAGAACAGCTTCAGAGAGTGAAGAAAAAGAATATCCTCTAAGAGATGTAACATATAATGAGGTGTGGCAGAAGGTAGGACAAGCAATTCCTTTATAAAGAAATAGTGGATGGGTATTATGAATATGTTGAATATGATGGGACTGTTCCTTCTGTTATGTTCTTATATCTTAAGTTCTGAGAGATGTCTGTTTATCTTGATTTTAAATATTCTGTCTTTTATGAATGAGCGGATTGTTTAGTACAAGTATAATGGGATTATTGTGTTTTAGTTTGTACAATAAACCATTGTGCCAGACATGATCGAAGGCCTGTTGTACATTTTTTTTTTTTTTTTTTTTTTTTTAATCTTTGAACTATATCTTGGCTGAAGCCTGTATTAGTACCTTAGAGTGGTGGGTTGTTGAGTGGCTAGTCTCCGTCACAGAAACCAAAGGCAGAACTATTAAATCTAGGACCAGAATAACAGTTGGACTGGTGACTGGACACTACAGACTTAAGGGGCGGACAAGCCTGTGGAGATATTGCCAAGGAGAAATAACGGATTATATCCTCCATTGGTGTGAAGGCCTAGGCAAGCTGATATATCTCACCTGGGAGGGGAAGAGCCGGGGCCTGAAGCCTGTGAAGGATACCCATGGAAGCCCTTGAAAAAGCTATAGTGTCTGGTAAAACGCCTTAAGCTTAAACTTAACAAGGAGCTTTTGATTTAGAAAACAAATGGAGATGCACAATAGACCAATACTGTTCATGGTGCGCAGGTCATAAAGAGGCGGGTACATATATAATCTGGCAAGTCTTAAACCCAAACTGTGAGCTATGGTGGTTAGTGACTGTTAATTAACGATTATTTGGAGATCGTGAGATGTGGTCTGGTGTGACATAGGTTTCAAAAAACATTTTCTTTATCGTGCCATTTCGATCTTTATTCACACCATTTTCAAGGCTCAAAGTGTTTGTTTTCTCTAGATGGTCATTACTGTGTGACGTGTTGAGAGTGCCTTAGGCCCGTATCCTCTGCATACGGGCTTTTTTTGCACATTTTTTTTCAAAAGTTTGCCTAATATAGGTGTTGGCTTTGTTCTTTCCTGGTTTAGAAATCATGATAGTTTGTGCTTTTTTCCATTTCTGTGGAAAGTGTTCCATCCTCATGCACCTATTTAAGCTGCTTAAGAATAAGTGTTACTCCTTTGTGAGGGACGTGCTTTACCATTAGCTCTAAGTTTCTAAGACAAGAATTGTGATAACATCTACAATTTGATCATTAATGAGGCTATTTGAGAAGTCACTAACAGTAAGAATTTTACACTAAAAAGTTGTTTAGTTAATTAATTTCAGGGGATTACTATAGATTTTTTCATTTAATTAATAAAGTGTATTAATTTGCTTGCAGTACATTTCTACATGCTAAATGTATATACAGAATGAAATATATCACAACACATATAGTTACGATTTTTTCTTAAAAAAAAAAAAAAAAAAAAAAAACTGATTTCATCAATTTCTGCTCTCATAAATTATATTTTGTATGACGAATGTGCCATATAAGCTCCTGAAAAAAATTTAAAATTACTAAGAGCTGTTATTAAAACAAATAATTACGCACCTCTCCAAAACATAAACCAGTTGCGAATGAAGCCTTTGCTGAAGGGCCTGGGCATGAAAAGGCCGTAACAACCAGATCGCTTGCTTCTATTTCTATATTCTTGCCCGGTTATTCCTAGGGAAATAAGCCAACTTTCATGAACTAGCACAGCACCTATGAATATGGCCACTTCTAAACAATAAATCGCAGTGACAAAACATGTCGCATACCTAAAATTTATTGGGTTGAAGTCTGAAATGTGAAGAACTTCTAGCCTGATCACCTCCGATCATACTCTGTGCATTATTACTGGTTTTGCCATTCAAACATATTTCAATATCACCCCATAATAGTTTTTAATATTTTTATGTTTTAATTGGTCTTAACATGTTTACATAACGGAGGCTTATTGATAATGGGACTGTCAGTGAATTTATAAGAGGGCAATGAGCGACAAAATAACACACAGACCAACCATGAATATGGCCAAATTACAAGCATTTTTAATCGTTATAACAGGAAGATCAGATGACAGAAGATGATCAAGTTAAAATTTATATTTTAATATGTATTTTTTTCCTATCACTTACTGACTATCAAAATAAACATCGCTGCAGTCGTCTGGCAACATAATAGGTGAGCCGAACACTTTAAAAGGATGGCAAGCAGTAGTAAGGATCAAATTTGAGCACAAAAGCAGTTGGCTAAGATTTGAAACTAGGAACATGATATACCAAAAGTGGTTGCTCTGACCAATGCAGCAATTCAGCCTATAAATAAATTTTATTATTAACTTAGATTGAAATTAATTTGAATTCCTAAATTAAAAAGCATTAGAATTTTAATAATTTGCTTTGCCTTGATTCAAAGTAAGATTTGAAATAAATTGTTTAAAAATTTGACTTTTAGCAAACACCAAATTCATGGTGTTGAATTCCCCTTTTGAGAGCTCGCTAGGGACATGGCCCGAAATGCATTAGCAATTAAAATATATGGCATAAAAATAAATGGTGTGTTTAGTTTTAAAATAAATAAATAAATAAAAATAAAATAAAATAACCAACATTGTAGATTTAAAATATTTTTTTACCACAAAATTAAGATAAAATTATTTTTAAAAAATATAATTTAATTTATATCTTACAGAGCATATAAATACTTAACAATATGAAAAAAGTATTTTATTTGTGAGATCTAAGCTATAAAACTATAAAATATGATTAATCTTATAGAATTACTTAAAAGCCAGCTTAAATTAAAAATAAAATATATTGGACATTAATGAATAATAACATACCAAGCACAATGCTGATTCTTTTTTAAAATGCATGCTTGGCAGATATGACAATGATAAGCTCGTAAAGGTATGTGTATGTTGCAATCAGAGCAAACTTTGTTTACGAGGCAATCTCCGTCCTCTACATCATTAACAACAACAGACAGCTTCTCCAGACGCCGCACCTTGAAGATACAAAAGAAAACCGCGATAGTTAAGATGAGAAATATGATATTCTCATCTGTACGGATTTCGAGCAGAGATACCCCAACTCCCTCGAATACACAGCATGTGACTAGAGTAGAAGCTATGTTCCACACGTAGAAGAAGTACGTTTGGGGGTACAATTCCATGTACAAGAGGTGGGCATATAGCAAAAAAAGTGGCATGAATGGGAAAATAAGAACGGACATCCACCACCCTTGAGCAGCCCAAAGTAGCGATAACGGAAGTACAAAAATAGGCAGGATTGCATCTTTGTTGAATTTTCTTGCACCACCTTTCCAAGGTATCCTTAATCTGTCATTCGATTTAATCATCACTTTCATCAACAAGTCAGATGGGACTCTCTGGCAGGAGATTAACCTAAAATAATAAGCAAATAGTTTGTAAGTGGAATCAATTGTAGGTTCTAAATTTTCTTGTTTGTAAAACATGTAATCTTTCATTTATATACAATACATATTAAAATAAACTTTCACTTTTAGCTGTAAAATGATTAAAGGTAAATTTGTAAAAATGAAAATACTTTTATTCCTACAGATTCCAACTACTTAATTCTCATTTATTATATTTTATTACTAAAGTTTTTAATTACACACTATTTAATTATTAATAAATGCAATTTGAAAAATAAACTTGATTTTTTTGTGTAATATTTATTAATGTGTGTTTGTCATTAGATCATTTTTTTTTTTTTTTTGGACCACAATCTAAATGTTTAAAATTATCGCTGTACTTACACCAAGCAGTACACGAAATTTTCATGTGCTCTGGGAGGGGATCATCTTTTAGCATTTTCTTTCCTATGCTCTCTTTTTCATAAAGGTCATAATTTCCTAACTGAAATTACAAAAACGATCTAATAAACAATATTTTCGATAGGAAGTTAAAGAATTGTGTGTTACGCCAAAATATAAAACCAATTTCAAAACATCTAACCATATACAAACTGTAAATTATGAAAAATATACAAAAACACATTGTAAAATAATAATATGTTCTTTAAGTTTATTAAGTTAAGTAATTCCTATCATAAGAAGGCATAACATGCAACAGTAGGGTCACAGGTCAATCCATTTTACAATACTTTCTCCTTAACAACAATTAACAATTAAAATTCCATGCGCTATGCCAGGATTCAAACCCAGGAGGCAGGTGGCAAATATGAGTCAGACTCCCTAACCATTGAGCCACTGCGGACCCAAATAAAAATATAAATACTTTCTTACGAATAGAAACAATTATATTTTTTATCCAGATTATATCAAAATAATTAACACTATTATTACTATTTAAATAAGATAATCTGAAATTTTTCTCACAGTATAGAATTATACTAATTGAAGAATGAATTCCCATGTATTTCAAGAATGTTCATTTAATTTTTGGTATATTTAATTAATTGTTGGTGATTTTTGAAAATTGACCATTCTGAAATCCGGTGCCAACATGCTCTCTGCAGTTTCTATTATGTGCACATCGACCAATCTTTTTCTGCATAAGAGGCACATGTGTGGGCTTTGTCCCAGGAGCAGGTGCTCGTGTGTTAACTGCTTATGACCAATTGGGTAAGGGCGATTCCTCGTTTCCTGCTCAGGATCTCAGGGGGGGGGGATCTTGTGATTAAAAGAGGCATTCATCGTAAATCTCTGTATTCAATGATCAAATCAGATCCATTCCAAAACTTATTCACGAATCATGCAAATATGAGTCAAACACCCTGACCCTTCAGCCACTGCAGACCCAAATAAAAATATAGATACTTTCTTAAGAATATAAACAATTATATTTTTGAGATGCAAGACTCTCCTGGACCCACCCCAGTCTGAACAACAGCTGTGTTGTTGCAGAGTCGGGAAGAGAAAAGACAATAATCTCTGAACTTTTTCAATCGCCTTATATCTCCGAAACCCCAGATCTGGCAAGCGTGCTATTCATACCTTGGACTTTTCTGAAAGCTGAACCAGGTCCTGGGTGAACTGATCATTCCAAACCCTATTTACTCCTTAGCAAGAAGCCATATTTTTGATTATCATTGGTAGGCTGGATTAAAAACAGTCTAGCTCTTAGTCATCATTAGATACAATTTAATCAATATGTTAATCGTGTTAAAACAGACATTCACCATAAATCTCTGATATTCAACAATGAAATCAGATCCACTCCAAAACTTATTCTGGAATCAGCTTAATTTCTCACTAAATCACTAAAATACAAAATCTTGTACACGTACATACATGTAACAAACATTTAAGCATATTTATAAAGATAAGAAAGAATAAATGACTATCTGTGAACTTGAGTTAACGCATTACAATAAAATAAAATAGAATGGAGTAAAAGAAGAAATATTAATAAATAATGAAAGTGCCCAACATAGGACTTGGAATAACAAAACATGATTATAGAATAAAACAGGAAAAATCTATAAAAAGAAGTTTAAAGGAGAGCCGAACAAACTTCAAAGGATTTGAAAATTAAAAACTGCAAACCTATCACAGCATAGGTCCAGTTCTTGGCAGTTGCAGCAACATGCGAGTATGTGGTTCATTTCCCCGCTTTCGTCCACGAACTCACAGCAGCAGAGGGTGTTTGACATTTCATGTCATAAGTTTGTCCTCTTTTAGTATTTAGTTGTTTATGAGCACAATAAACAACATCTCTTATCTCCATTTGGCTCTCCTTTAGGTCATATCTGAAAAAAAACTGATATCGTCCTTTGTAAAGGTACTAGCGTTTTTCACGTCAACGTCATGCCATGTAACGTCATGTAATAACTCGGACAGAATTTCTACATTAATATTTTCGTAGATTTTCAACGAATACCCCAAAACGTTAATAGCCAAACGCTGAAATGTCTAAGAGTACCAAAGTAAATTTCATTTTCATTCAATATATAATTAGTTTTATTTTAAATGTACAATAGGACTATAAGCCCTCTTAAGTTACTAGAAGAAATAAACCACATAATCGCATGTTGCTGCAACTACCAAGAATTGGACCTATGCTGTGATAGGTATACAATTTTTAATTTTCAAATCCTTTGAAGTTTGTTCGGTTATACACTTCTTTTTATAGACTTTTTCCTCTTTTATTTTATAATCATGTTTTATTATAACAAGTCCTATGTTGAGCCCTTTTAATATTTAATCTTTTACTTTAAGACATATTATAAAAATAAATTTTATAAACATAAAAGTTTTATAAATATAGTAAAAGAATAATAATAATAATAACCATATCAAGAGCACGACCGGTAGACTCAGAGAACCTAAGCAGGAGACGAGGGATCATCCTCATCCAACTGAGGATTGGCCATACGAGGTTGACACATGGGCACCTGCTTTTGGGCCAAAGCCCGCGCAGGTGCCCCTTATGCAGAGAAAGGTTGCTCGATGAGACCCACATAATAGAGGCATGTCATGCCATGGCTCCATACAGAGAGCATGAAGGCATGCTGCCGGACTTAAGAAGAGTTCTCGAACACGGTAGCGAGTTTCAGAGTCTCCTGTTCCACTTTTTAGGGGAAATTGGGTTTTTTTATTGTATATAATATGTCTTATGTGTTGTGTCTATATGTTTTGTCTGAGTGCATGCATTTATTAACGTGAATGGCGAATGGAGAAATATCAAGTACTCCACCGACCAAACGGAATGAGACTGTATGGATGTATTTATGTGTATGAATGTATTTATTTGTATGAATGTAGTGTTTGAAAGTGTAAATAGAATATAGGCTTAGTTGGGGGCTGAAAAGACTTAGATGTCAAAAGCCCCAGTCAAAAAAAAAAAAAAATAATAATAAAATAAAATAAGTAATAATATGTAATAAAATAAGTAATAATATGATTTTTTTAACTATTTTAAAGACTCCATTTCCTGCTCATCTAGGTCATCGTTAATTGTCCTTTAGTTTTTCAAATATTACTCATGAAAATGTTTTAGAAGCCATCCTTTCAATTAGTCTAATGCCTCAGGTTCCGATTTTATTCCTATTAAACTCAAAATTTGTTCCCTTCCTGTTGCTTTAATATACATAACCCACATTTTGAACTTCTCCTTCACCTCATCCTGTTTTCCTGGAGACTAGGACGTCTTAATAGTTGCTTTAACCAAGAAACAAACCCACCCTTGCTACTGAGTTGACTCCCATGCCCTTTTAAGTTATCAGGTACAGAGAAATGTTTAGGGGAGGTCCTAGGGGTAGTATTCTCTCCGGAGAAAGGTGAAAGAAACACAGGTTGGAGAATACATAGTTTACCCAACTATCCTACAGTACATTCAAATAATTTTTACCCAGATACCATATTGAAAATACAACCAATTTTTCCATCCCTAATTTTTTTTTTTTTTTTTCTAACGAGGGTTCGCAACAGCAGAGGTCATATAGACCCTCAGGGTGCCGGTGTTTTTGAAAAAAAAAACACATTTGTAAGTATGTAGAGTTCGAATGCAGGGCCGCTGATTTGAACCTTTACCTTACACCTGATGAGCACTGTGTCAACGCCTAAACCGTTGCGGCCACCTTCACCCTATCATATTGTAAATTCATTCAAAATTAACCCAAATACAATGTTCAAAATACAACCAAATCTAACCCAATTATCATATTGTAAATTCAATCAAAATTAACCCAAATACAATGTTGATACTGACAAATTTATCCGGGCATTAATTGAAGTGCTCCGGGCTCAGGCAAATTTAACGCACCCACCTGTTTATAGAATACAGGGTCAACTTCGTACATATGCTCGTTCATCTTCTTACATTCCCAACGCAACTCCCCATTAAAAGAATTAATTTAAAAAAATAAATCTCCCACGACAGGAAAAGGGGAAACGGCCTCTTTTCATCTGGTGGGGATGACTGTCAGCAGAAAACTAATATTAAATCGCTCCTTTATTCTATTATTCTAACACTATTGTTTCACTTTCCTTAGATTCTCAATCTGTTTATCACCTTCAAAATGCTTATCCTTCCTGCATTAGATACTGTTAAGATCCTGAGCCAAGAGATCATATTCTACCTGTATTAATGTCTTCAGCAATCTTAACATTTAAACACTTAGTTTTAATACACATATTTAAAATTAAATAAAATTTCAGTTACTTAATCTTTTTATGTAAGGTTTTGGTTGTTTACTTAGTTTAATGAGCGGGATTCGAACCCACGACTTTTAGCTAAATACGCCGCTACTCTAACCACTTGAGCTAATGTGACTTTGATCCACTCCAAAGTCCAAACTCACTAATCATATCCTAAGCTTTCAACACTCCAAAACTTTAGCCATATACTTCAGAATTGTAGGGGCAAGACTATAGAATTGAAAGTTTTTCAGACCCCATGTTCCAATTTTATGAAGGAAATTGGAGGTTCTTTTGTTGCACATTGTTGTTTTCTTCAATGGTTTTGTGTGGAGGTATTTATTAGCATGTGTGTCAATAGCAGAAAATTATCACATTGACTCTTATTTAAGTTGGTGTATAGGACGAAGGAATCCCCAAGTAGTGAGTAGTAATAGGCTTTCAGTATCTACAGACCAACAAAGGTACATACATAAAAAATATTTTAATGATCATTTACAATGGAATATTTTGTTATTCCATTGCTGTGAAGGCAAGAAATAACAATACTATCATTTTCATTAACTGTTATGTCATGTATTAACATTTCCGCCGCTTGGTACACATGCGAATCATGTGAAGAAGAATCGTACAGGTGATCTCCATATTGGTAACTATATCCATGTAATATTGCATTTACTTTTCCCGTTTGACTGATGTGGATTTTACCCTGGAAAATGTCAACATCTTGGCAGTTGCAAGTTTTTAGGTTTAAGCTACCAATGGGAATCTTATCAGAAAGTTTTGTGAATTTTAACGCCGATGCATCTATCTCAATGTGGGTACTTGTCTGAAAAATCAATCAATGTAATAAAAAGTATTTATTATGATTTATTGAATGCTTACCTTATATTCATTAATAACATCAGCAATTTTAAAATCACCAATGTCTAAATTAGCATCATAGACCTTGTGCTCATATGCCAATTGTTCCGAGTAAATTAGTTGACACCAAAAGTTCAAACAGGATGGTATTATTATTCCATTTGGTTTCAACTTAGTTCTAAAAAAGACAAAATTAATAAATACTAAAAAGAACTCATTGGAGCTAAAATTTCAAGTCTTTTTTTTATAATTTTCAATTATCCAAAATCTTTCTATATTGCAAGTGATAAAATTGTTTAAAAATATTATTAAATATAATTATTTATTACCTCAATTGAATAAATTGGGAAAAGTTGTTTTCAGACAATTCCCCGATTGTGTGAAGTAGGTCCACAACAATGACATCGAATAACATTTTTTCGAAATCGTGCAATATATACTCTTCCCATGTTTTAACAATCAACGAGTTTGAATTCAATAATGTTTTGGTGCACTTTTTCAAAGATTCTCCTGATTTATTAATACAAATCACTTTCGAATTATAATTCAAAAATTGAATCCCACCATAAGGAAACGGCGATAAATCAACGATTAACAAATCATTTTTATGTTTAATATCAGCTATTGCATCATACATGAAGTTCAATAAGGATGATGAATTGATATATCTAATAGCTGACTGTTCGATATTTATTAACTTTTTTGTATCAACATCAATCTCGTTTATTTTGTTATGTCTTATTACTAGTTTGCCATTTGTGCAAGAAGCGTATGTTGAAACTTGATCATCAGTCTTGAGATAGTATGAAGTATAACAAGGGAAAATTGCCTGCCCCCAACATGTATAATCTTGAGATAAAGGAGAGGATGAAATTTTATTTTCTTCGTCTAGATATAAATCAAACCAGGCGGCAAACCCATCCAGAAATCCTTGTTTGCAATTAAATGTTACATTTAAATTATTAGCACCGTTAAGATGGTCTTCCATGTTTTTAACGCTGGTGAAATCAACGTTAAACAATTCAATAGGATCACTCAAGAGTTCATAATCCAAATATTTAAGGTACTCCAAATCGTATGGATCGTTGTTCAGATGTGATAAAGAAAGAGGACTCAAATCTTGACAAGGCTTTTTTCTTATTTTTGGTAAATTCATGTACTTTCTAGCGACTGACAAACATTGGATTGGCGCTGCAAACAATGTCGCCCGAAGTGGTATAACATTTCCTGAACGTCCATCTTCCTCGGGTCTCACAATGAGATTATTCCAAGCATGGATTAATGTCTGCAATATCCCTTCTCCAAAAAGGCCTGCATCAACTATTTCACTAACAACTAATGAACATCTTAAAAAAAAATTTAAAAAAATTAAAAGCGATGTAACCAAGATTATGAAACTTCATTTACCTGAATGGAATGTCATTAGGTATCATTAAATTGTTTGATATGTTTTTTAAAAGCTTCACTTTATTTTTAACATTATTTTTGCTAAAAACATCACCAGCTATGTCGTACATTGCTTCAGAGTATTCACAAGCGAAAACGTTTTCAGCACCTTCTTTGATAGCATATAAACTAAAAATAAATCAAACTAAAATTAATAAATTTATTTTAATGAATTTAATAAAACACCATATAAACTCAATTTTATCAATGGTTTTTCAATCTTAAGTTTCTAAATTCTAAAACATTATGATGAACTGTACATTTTGATTTTTGATTAATTATAGGAAAAACTACAAGTAAATAATATTGATCATTTATGTTCATTCTGGTCAAAATTGTAATAATTTCTCTGTGTTATCTGCGCAGTGATTAACCTGAAATTTTGTTGTTATTGATCATTTTAATATGATTGAAAAGGTGAAATACTGAAATGATACAGACCAACCCAGAGAAGATAGGCAAAATAAAATGAACAATAACAACCAAATTTCAACCTATTCTAAAGTTTAACTTAATAAAAATGCACAAAAAGAAAAAAATTCAACATAAAACGAGACTCTAAACATAGTGAAAAATTACATTGATTTTTTTTTTGTGCTTTTCTTATTAGGTTAAAGTTGGATGTTAACTTCTGTATTGTTTTTTTTTCCTCTGTGTTGTGTAGATATTTTGTCCAATTCTTCTGCTTGGTTGTTGTCTCTTTCTTAAGTGTTTTGTTTCATTTTTCTTTCTTTTTGTGCTTTTTAATTATGTTAAAATTGGAAAATAAATTCTGCCCAGGACAAAAAGTTGAATTGTTAGATTAATCCAATTTAGCATAAATTTTCTGCATTTTCGTTCAACGTAATTAAAGAAAATGGTTTACTGCAAGAGTAGTATATTAAACAAAAAAGTTGTTATAAAATTTACCAATCTACACCATGAATTTTTCCAATGAGGTTGAAAATTTGTTTACAGATTTTAAATTAAGCAATTTTTGAAAGATTTAGTGTTTTTTTTACCAGAAATAATTTGAAAATTCTAGATGGGTGTCTTCTTAAAGGAAATTTACTGGTTTTTTCAATGCTTTTCTTTTTACTTCCCCAACAATAAATAGTTCAAGAGCTATAAGTAGATTTACAATGAAAACCATAGAATAGAAATGATAAATGTTGGAGTGAGTATATTCAATCTTCATAAAACTTATCTTTTTATAAAACTAAAAAGTTTAAAAATTTTTTGAATGTAATACAAAAGGGTTGAGAATCAGACCATGGTCCATGAATTTTTTTGTTGCAGCTAAGGTGGAGAAGCCCCTGGCAAACTTTGTCGTACCAGTAGCAAATCACCCTGTATAAATTTAACTATCTGTATATTTTATTAAGAAGTACATTGAAGAAACAATATTTTTTTAAAGTAAACAAAAAAATCTTTGCTTTATTATTCTGGCTATTTTTGAACCTAAGATATAATTTTTTGTGCTAAATTTTTACCTTTGCACTAATTAGATATATTAATGCTATTAGTGGTACAGGCTGAGAATAGTATTAAATTAAATACTCTACTACCTACCTCAAAAGTCCAGTACCAGTGCCAATATCAATGACATTCTTTGATCCGTTTTTAATCATTTTTGATATGGATTCCTTCAGCGCTTTGTTCCTAAAAGAATCATTCAGCATCTTGAAGTGCCATTTTTCAACCAGGAGATTTGTGGCACTTTGAAAATTGTGAAACGCAGGGAGGTAATTTTCGTCCCTCTCTAATGCACTTTTAAAATACTTCCTTGCTTCTTTGACAAATCCTATCCTAAAACATCATTTACTCCATTTATTCAAGTTATAATTTTGAAAATTTGTCCATTATAGTTCTTTGTTTTCATTTTATAAAAGCTAATGTTATTAAAGAAAAATGACCACAAGAAAAAAATGTAATATCTTAACTTTTCATTACCTTAAAAATTTAATATATATTTTATTATGTCTTTAAGTTTATGGAATACTTTTTAAAATGATCAAGCACTATGGTGAGAGGAAAGAAACTCATTTATTTAACAAACAAACACATTAAACTTTTTTTTATTAATATATTGGTCATAATACAATCAAAATGAAATAAACAACTGTAATTATTCAACAAATTAGTCTTCATAAATTTTATCGAAGATTTTTTTAAATATCCAAATTAAAACTCAATATACTATAATTTTATAACAACACAGAATTCTCTCAAGAGTCCAATAAAAAATGTAAATTATGCGCTATCTTAAGCAATGATGTTTGGTGATATTATAATTTTCTCACTCATTTATCTAAAAATTAAAAGTATAACTCAATAGTTCTCACTTTAAATTACAAATCTCTTGGGAGTAAGTAGACTCAAGTAGCACTCATGATTAACTTTTTCTATTGAAAAAAAATCTTATAATATTAAAAAAAAGAGGAAATTTTGAAATAGTCTCTAATCCAACTTCGTATCTATTCTCACTGAGTTGGGGGATGCCAAAATGAATCTGATAGACAAAATCGGAATAGGCAAAGGATAATCGGTTATGATCAACCTACAGAAAATAATATAACTCTTATGGTTTTTTTAAAAATAATATATTAATTTTCAAAATAAAAATATCTTAAAAAAATTCCTTTCTTTCAACACATTTCAAATGTGTCTTCTTACTTTATTTATAAATAAATCCCAACAACATTTGTTTTTAGGGAAATAAGTACATCTTTAAAATTGCCCAAGGTATTAAAATTATAAGTTTTTTATAGTATAACTGTGGTTGGATGTACAAAAGAATTTTCAATTCTTAAATTTACATGCAACGGCTTAGCCTTTCTTAGTTTATCAAACCAAAGATGTACATGTTTTATTAATTTATCATCACAAATATATGTAATAGAATATAAAACAATTTCAGTTTTTAAATATCTCGATTTCATAAATATTTTAGTGTGAATTAGAACACAAGAATTTATACAATGCATGTCGCCCTTTTTAGACCAATAAACAACAGGATATCCTAGAACTATACCGAATGCTGTTGGAACAGACCAATTCTCTTTGTGATTAAAATTTTGTATTTTCTTATCTACCACCTCTTTTGTTAAATCTAAAAATATTCTATTTATATCTTTATTGTAGTGTTCTATTAGCAAAGGTTTCTTTAAATTGTGGCTAATATCAATGAAACAGTAGTAGTCACGTTTCTTTATATTTTCCATAAGAGTATTTTTATTGTAAATCAAAATATTTTCATTGATTATCATTATTTTCAAAAAATTAAAATTCAACGCTTGAACAATTTGAAGATATATTTCTGGCTTGGCGATCTCGCTAAGGTCCCAGAGGTAAGCACACTTCAAACCGAGATTCACTCCCTCGAGATTCAAATAAATTGTTTCATAAAATTTCCTGCCTTTCCTTGGAAAATGCTTTCTCAAAATTGCAATCACCGCATCAAAGTTTTCCACTGAGAACATTTTTTTTTTAAATCACCTTATGAGATGACCACCAAGATTTGTCAATATCTCTTTCTCGCCTGGATAAGTTTCAATTGCTTCTTCATAGCAGGCAAACAAATCTTCAAATCTCTCTTCAGATTGAAGATACAACCCAAATTTATCTAAAACAAAAAATAATATTGATATTTTCTATTTAAACTCTAAACATTTGAAACAATTTATATATAATAAGCTAAAATAATCGCAAAAAGTCCAATATTAATTATCAAGACAAAATGCAAGCTAACAAACTTTAGGGAAATAAGTACTGGATGATTTAAACTTGCTAAAACAAAATTATGTATGTGACAATGATAAATAGCAAAAAAATATTTTTGTAATAAATGTTAATAAATTATAAGTAAAACTTTCTCAATATTTAAGGCTGAAGTTGTTTGAACATATTATGTTTATAAATGATATAATACAGCAAAGTATTAAAAATAGTAACAATAATCTTGTGAGATAGAGTGGGAAACAAATTCAATAAACATTTCATAAAATTAAAAATATCTCCACCCAATATGTTTCCTCACTTCAAACATAATACATGTTTCCGATCTATCAATTAATAAGAATAAGAAAAGTGAATGCACATTAGATTTTTCACATTTGAATTTTGATCGTTAATCAGTGGTAGAAGAGTGTTGAATATACACCCAAAGACACAAAACCAGACACTCGTATTTTGTCGTTTATTTCAAACTATATGCATTTTTATTGTTATATTAATTACAACAAAATTAGTTTAATGTAAATCAAATTAAACAAGATCGGAAATACATTAGTTTTAATAAAAATTATTTAATTAGGATGGCTTGAAAGAAAATTCACCAAAACACCAAAAAATCATTTAGAAATAGATTTGAATTTAACTAGCAATTTATCCCCATTCATTTATTTATTACCTCGTCTGGCCTTGCAGAGGACTTTAAGTCTCCTAGGCATTGAGTTAATAAGCGACGAGATTTCGTCTTGTGAACAGAATCCCATTCTTCAACAAGAGTGGTATGTAGCTTTCAACACTTGTTGGCGAACAATGAATAACTCGTATCTTTATTATGTCCCATACATGTTCTATGGGATTCATGTGCTGGCCAATTCACTGTGTTGATCCCTACAGTCTTCAATTAATGGGTGACAGCTTGAGTTACATGTAGTCGAGCATATCAGGCAAACGAAGTTATCCTCAATAAATTGAGTGAATGAGCTACAGCTTCCAGAAGAACTTCCTCAATGAACCTCTGTGCAATCAAAGATCCAGTATGTATGATAAACAGTTTGGTACGGGCAGTTTCCACCCTGTACATAATCGACTGTCTTTGAAGAAACTGTGACCCACACATGAAACAAAATATTCTCAATGTCTTCATCACACATGGTCCTGGTCATCTGTTGTTCATTGTTAAGTGTCAAGGCTAGATGATGATATGTGTCAGTCACCTTTCTACTCAATGCCTCTCAAGTACCATGGAATGAGGGACATTTATACACAAGACTATTCTCAGTCATCTGATGATTGTTTAACACCCTTAAGCCGAGTTTCCACTGCGCAAAAATTACTCGCAACTGTTTCGCATTGTGGAGAGTTCGTTGGAACTGCAAAACTTTTGGCATGAGGATGTTTCGGGCCGACCGGTTGTTGGTTTTTTAGTGCATATCCAAGTGTTTCGCATTGTTTGTATCACTCTGCGTAAAAATGCACTGGTTTTGAGTATAAGAATGAACAAGGAAGAATGCATTTGACTTATCTGAATGTATCACTGCTACCAATTTTTGTGGGATGCTAAAGATAAAACATAATAAATAAAATTTGCTTTTCTTTTTTACATAATATATCGCCTTAAGCAAACGCTAATGCAGCAGTCTGCATAGTTATAAACAGTATGCTTATCTCACGCAACTGATGGCTCACCTTGTTTTGCCTGTAAATTGCAAAATGTTTCGCCTCATGGAAATGGTTAACCCAAGATGGCATTTTGCAAGTATTTCTTGCTTTTAGTCGGGTGAGTGTTTTTTTTTTCACACAGTGGAAACCCAACTTTACATTATGGACTGTTCGGAGTTGGCTGTCTATCAAGGAAATTGTTAAATGACAGTCCAGTAGTGCGATAAGAGCAATAAAATGATTGTCTCTAGCTAAGGTACATCGTATGCCCTAAACCACTGTAGACAATCATGGACGGTAGAGCGTGGAACACCCAGAACTTTGGCTATATAAGATGTCCGTCATTGGCCAAAGCATCTTGCCTGGGGGGAACGTCTTGAATTCAAACAATGCTTAATAATTAATTAATCGTTACATCAAAGAAAACAACTTAAAAAACCAATTAACTTACAAGATAACATTAGAAAGAATGAAATTGAACTGATTTTTTTTCATATTTAATCTAAAGAGAGTAAACGGATTAGTAACACTACACACAAGATAAACAACAAGTTATAAACATTGTGTTTATGTTTTAAGCCAAATATTAATCTTTATGCCTACTTATCATGGAAAATAAGCAAATAAATATGTCTTTGAGAGTATATTAACAACGAAAATATTGCATATTATCTTACACAAAACTGCTAAAAAGTCTGTTTTGAATTGTTGCTTCCATTCAGGTTTGAGCTTCAGTGCGACTAAGAAGTGAGCGAAGGACCTGCCAGGTATATCCTTATCCTCATAGTACTGGGCCAAGTTGATTGAATTTACAGCTACTTCATCCTCGCTCTGCTTTTGCATATTTGTCGTTTAATTCTGGTTCAAAGTATGAAGGCAACAGAACCGTAAGAAATAAACAGTTGGGTAAATATTCATATTCTCATACACCTCATGACTACATTATTCCGGTCCTTTTTCTGAAAATTGCACATGGATATTTTTTTTTTTCATTTGATTTGTGCTATTACTCCACGTTTTTTAATTCAAACTCGTCTCTACAGATCATGATAACGATATAAACAAACTAGAGGTAACAGGTTTAAGACCATAAGTTCATAATCGGAAATGCCAGGTTGTAACTTGGTACTTAACATTCATGAACTAAACGTAGCTTTTAGCAAGGAAAATATAATTAAAAAATAAATTAATTTAAAAAAATACATTTTTTCTCTTTTCATCATGACTCATTTTACACGACTGTATACAATGATCTTTTGATGCAGAGTTAAGAGAAAGAATTTTTGAGTGTTAACCCTGTAGGGATATTTTTCCTAAAACACACTACAAAAAAACTAAAGAATCATAAAATTTTAAATATATAAATGAAAAAAGAAAAGAAAAATAGTAAACCAGAGCTTTAAGATATTTATGAACTGTGTAAAGTGTTACATGTATAGATCACTTCTTACTCCTGGTAGGTGGCATGGTCTTGATGAAAAAATCCTATTAAATTGTTACTGCCAAGCTTTCAACCTATTTAAGGTCATAATCAGGACAAAATAGATGTCTACAAATAATTATCATAATTAACTTTTTAATAGATGGTTTTCAAATTGCTTTGAAGACATAAATTGTTTTGCCCTGATGATGACCTTAAAATAGGTTGAAAGCTCGGCAGTAACAATTTAATTTGTTCTCTTTAAGACCACACTGAGATCCAGATTATTTATGATATTTATGAACCTTAGAAAAAGAGAGATAAAACAATAAATAAATATATTTCAATAAATTCATATATATTCAGATAGCTCAGGTGGTTGAGCAGCGGCGTATCAAATGTTCGAATCCCTCTCGTGCCATTAATTTTTTTTTCGTCTCATCTAAAAACCTTAATTGTAATATATTTCAATAATTAATCTATTGAATAAAAACATTCAACTGTTCAAAAAAAGTTTTCATGATAAACCATTGTAACAATTTGATTCCATTAGAAAATAAGAACTGCAGAACTTTTATTTCTCTTGCAAAAAAATCAGTTGCAACTTTCCGTTTTTGTGTCTAATTAAAAAATAAAACAAAAACTATTGAATTAAAAATTCAATTTATTAAAAAGAAAAGAAATTAATAAAAATAATCAAATAAAAAAACTTGTTTGGAACTTAAAAAATTGACTACCTTTAGGTTTTGAAATCACTAAAAAAAAAATTAAAATATAAAAGGAATAATGTACACATAAAACAACTGTCTCACTGTCCTATTAAATTTAGCCTCAATGGTCTTTCTCCATATGCAGTTCAACCCAGAAGAAAGACTTGATAAATTTCATTTTCCCATGGCACATGCCCAATTCTGCACAACTTGCTGTTACTAAGGGCAAGCAAGAAAAGCCAAGTCTATTTAACTTGTTACAGAACAAGAAATCATTATGTTCTGGTTAAAAATTAAAATATAATTTACTAAGTTTTATCACACAGATAAAAATAGGTAGGACACTAATTTTATATATAATTTATTAATCAAACTTTCATTAAATATAGATTTTTTTTTTGTTAACAAATTTTGGAAAATATTTAATGCAAAATGCCATTTAAACATTTTATATGCTGTGATGTGTTGAACCATGTTTATTTTGCCAGTCCTTAAATTTATCCAAATTAGACACTGTTGGCTTTGTCCTTTCGAAGGAACACAATACATCTGATGTTTCGATTGGTTTCAAATTCTTCACTCTTTTGCTCAATTCGACACCTTAAAAAAAAAAATTAATAAGTTATTATTGTCAAATTTGAATATTTCTTACCGTCTCCTAAAACAGGGAATAGTGGACGCATAGCTTCCATAGCCGTTTCTTTACAGACCAGTTTGATATCTGATCCTGAATACCCTTCACATCTCTGTAAAAAAACATGTTTAATTTAAAACTAATTTAGTTTTATATTTTATATGCTAATTTGAAAATTACGGAAGCGAGTGCAGGATAGTCTATGTTAACTTGAAGTTTAAATTTAGTGTTAATTATTGGCGGTAAATATCTCTTGAGTAATTTCTTCCTAGCTTCTGTATTTGGCAAGTCTACAAATATGTGTTTTTCAAGACGTCGAAGAATTGCTGTATCTAGATCCCTAAATTGATTTTTTTTTTAAATTTACATAAAAAATAATTTATTAAATGTTAAAATAAATTAAATTACCATGGGAGGTTTGAAGTGGTCAGGAGAAATATTTTTTTATCACATTGAATTAATCCATCCAACTGTACAAGAAATTCAGATTTCAGTCTTCTCGAAGCTTCGTGTTCAGTTGGACTTTCTCTTTTTGAAGCTAGCGAATCAACTTCATCGATGAAAATAGTGGAAGGTGCCTGAAGTCTTGCCAATTCAAACATCACCTAAATGTAATATCTACAATATTAATTTTAATTAAACAAGTTAACGACGTACTTACTCTAACAAGTTTTTCAGACTCTCCTCTCCATTTACTGATCAAGGATGAAGCGGATATGTTGAAAAAAGTTGTATTGCATTCTGTAGCAACGGCTTTTGCGAGAAGAGTTTTTCCTACAAATTAATTAATTTATGCTATTGCTATTAAAAATGTATTTTTTGTGCATTGCATAGTAACCAGTTCCGGGAGGACCGAAGAGCAAAAGCCCTTTCCATGGCGTTAGAATGCCTTCAAACATTTCAGGATATTTAGATGGGTAAACAACAGCTTCTTTCAGCAGTTGTTTTGCAGTATCCAAACCAATTACATCATCCCATTTAACATTCAAATTTCTGTCTATTACCTCCTAGTTGTATGTTTTTTATTAGTAAATAAACATTAATATACGTACATTATGTTTTTATTACTTTTGATATTATGTCAGCAAAACTTCTCCATTCTTCAGAATAACCTTCAAAATGGCCCAAACCTTTCCAGAGACGTTCATGACCGTCATTTTGACCAACTTGGGTAATAAACAATGAGGAAGAGTTGACTTTCAAATTTTCATTTGCATCCCCTGCTGATGGATTTTTTATTTCTTTGCTCTTAAACAATTTTTTATCTTGATTCCTCTTAACAATTGGAGCATTCACGGGGGATTCCAGTTTCTTGCTAATTTTTGGATATTTTTGGAACCTCAGATAGTAGTAGCATTCATAGTCTTTTACAACTGTATACAGGTCAATATTGTCACAAAGAGCGTACATATTCGGGACTCTCGCTTCTGAATCAAATTGCATAGCAGTCTCAACATATCTGGCAACAGTAATTATTAAACATTTTGATTTTTAAGAATTGATCTCACTAAAATAATTGTGAACCATGAGCTCACTGACTCATAGACCAACACCAAGAAACAAACTCCAACGTAATTGTGTTCAATATCATTAAGAAGTATTTCAAGTTTAGACACCTCATTCATGCATGCATCACACACTCAACCATTTCAAAACTTACCCTTCATCAAGCAAGTATTGCTTTATCAATACCATTAAATTTATTTTCCTGTTTTTTGCCTTTTTTTCCTCCTGTAAAGATGAAAATATGGAACCCATAAGCAAGCATATTTACAATATTTATAGACAATATGTACATATACATAATATACTGATATTTACAATATTTATTATTTACATATAATTTCATTTCCATGTTCAAGAGCAGTGCAAAATTCAGTTGGTAAACAAGTTAAATGGACTGAGTGCCGGTATTTTTGGAAAAAAAACCTATATGTAACTACGTCAAATTTGAACTCAGAGCCGCTGGATTTGAACCCAGGACCTTTACCTTTCAGTGATTAGTCAGTGCCTTTAACCATTGCAACCACTGTCACCCCAAAAAGTATACTTAAAAAACACTATGTACCCCAGATGGCAAAAAAATGAAAGCCAATTTAGTATAGAATATGAAAGAATTACTTGTAATATTTTACAAATTGAGCAGAACAATACAATTCCTTTTTCTTGGTTTTATTTATTTTTAATTCAGGGTTAGGTGTGAAAATGTATTCATACTAGGAGTATGATCCTAACAGATCTGACTAAGACTCTTTGGCGAATGCCAAAATTCTTTGAAAATAAGTAATAGACAAATTTCAAACATTAATTAAAACAAGAGTTTTGAAGAAAAATAAATTATTGTTCTGCCATATAAATGTGATATCAGTTTGAACTGAATTTTACATACAGATATAACTTTTAATGACAGGTGCAGATGAACTAAGAATGTTTCTACATACCGTTTCCTTAACTTTACACGACTTCTCAATGAGAGAAAAATTAATTTCTGCAGTCATTATTTTCTCAGCTTTGGTTTTAAATGAATTAAATATTAACACTTTTAAAGGAATTGTTAACTATCAATGAGCATAAGTCAGCCTGTTGTCATGGAATTAGATAAACAATTGTTTTGAAATTAATGCATTGTTTAATATTTTGCGTTTTTTCTTTATTTTAAAAAGAAATTATTCAGAATGGGTTGTCTTAACAAAATTAATTGATTCTTCCAAGGAGGCCCTTCCAAAATAAAAATCTGTTAATTATCATTATTGAATGATATTTTTAGAATAAAAAACTTTTTAAATATACAATAAATGTAATGAAAAACTGAAAGTTTAAATATGATGGTTTTTTAACGATTAAATGTTAGTTTCAATGTTTAATTGTTCTAGTTTTAATAGAGACTTTTAAACATACTTGCTAAAACTCCATTAAACCTCTGTAAAGGTTGCTACTTCGCAGGTTTGGTATGATAACGTGTTATATACCTCATTAGTTTGAAACTTTTTTTTTATTATTAAGGACACCTGTAAAAAAATATTTTTTAAAATAATATGATTAGGTATTCGTTGTTGAAAGTGGCAAATTTCCGACAGGTACGTCTATTTGTATATAATACATTCTCATATACAATTGAATTTACTTTTGAATCGTAAGTTTATTTTGTGTAAATACAAATTTGTATATTGTGTTTGATAAGTGTAAAAACAGATTTTTCTTGTTTTAAGGTTGCTAAATTTAAAAAAATGCAAAACTTGTTTGGTAATGTCAAGTATAATGTCTGTATGCCTATGTGTCTATAATGTCTAAAGTATAATGTCAATGTATGCATAAGCAACTGACTGAGAAGTGACTTTTTATCATTAAATCACATTTCAAAAATAAAATGCCATTCCCACCCAAAAATGAAGAAAAAAGTAAAATCGAGTTCATTTTTATTTGCCGTGTGCCTATTTTACCTTGAAATTGTTGTGGTTCCTTTTGCAATTTAATGGTGATTAAAATGTCTTCATTTATGTGGTTAAATATGTGATTTAATCATTATGCATCAATGGAAGCTCAACGAGATACTTATTTCTTTTATTTAGACATTTTTGATTCTGAACATATTCATAGGACATTTAAAACCAAATAATCATCACTAAAAGGCATACCGCACAACATATTAATACTTTTAGGTTTAAGCATCATATTACATACATACATTATATGTTTAATAGTGTTATTTTGACAAACAAGAATGTTGTTTAATAAAAAACAAATATCCCTGCATTTTTCTGCTCAAAAAGACTTGTATTTATTTATTTAATAACTAGACATCAAGAATAATAGTCAAATTAAAACATTAATAACTTGTGGTTTACCTTTATAGATCCTTTTATACTCTTTCAATTATTTATTATATTATAGAGAAAATCAATTCAATTTCATCCTGTTCAGAGCCAACGTCGAGTGAATTACATTTTTTTTCCTTAAAAATATGGTTTTAAGTCGAAGATCTGACCCAGGCAGTTTTGGCCAATGATGGACTATCTGTTACATGGTCTAAGACGGTTGTGCCGCGTTCTACCATCCATGATGTGGTTTAGGGCCACTGGAGGTCTCGAAGAGAAGGTAGAGGTTGACTGCGACAGCTAGGGATGATGGTTTTATTGCTCTTACTGCACTACTGAACTGTTCCTTGACAGGCCGTCATACTCCAACGGTCCGTAATGTAAGGGTGAGCTCTAAAACAGTCATCAGAAGGCGTTGTGAGATTAGCCTAGTTCTGCGTTAGGCTCTCTTTGATTGAGAAATTGAACAATAATTAATTATAAAACATTATTATGTGATATTAAGTTAATTAGATGTTTTGTTTGCACTTGTACACCTAGAATAACTTTTAAATTTTTCTGACTCACTTAATATTTCATTTTTGAAACAAGGTAAAATAGATTTCCATGGACAAGGGTGTTGGGTTATTAAAATACTTCAGTAATTTGATTTTTTTTTAATGTACTTTTTCATTATGGAATGTCTTCAATAAACCAATACCATTATACGGATGAAAAAAATTGTTAAGAAAAGACTGACTCAGTAAAATAAATTATTTTTAAATCTATAAATGCAGTAGAGTTTTTCCAATATTATTTATCAAAATAGTTTGTTCATTTTATTTTATTTTTTAAAATATGTTTTGTCAATGTTTTGAGTTCAAAGTTACTTTACAAATATTTATTAGATTTCGTGGTCCACTTGACGAAATAAATTCTTTTCAATTAATTAAGGTTTTGGTTGAGATAAAAGAGTGAGTGTCACAAGCAGGATTTGAACCCACGACCTTCGGCTAAATACACCGCTGCTCTACCACTTGAGATAACGTGACTTCGATCCACTCGGACACTTCCTATCTCAACCCCACACACACTATTTAGTTGAAGGTCGTGGGTTCGAATCCCGCTTGTGACACTCACTTTTTTATCTCAACCAAAACCTTAATTGAAAAGTTACTTTACAAATTCATTAATTTCGTGGTCCACTTGACAAATTAATATATTATAATTAATTAAGGTTTTTAGTTGAGATAAAAAAGTCAATGGCACGAGCGGGATTCGAACACACGATCTTCGGCTTGATACGCCGCTGCTCTACTACTTGAGCTATCGTGACCTCGATCCACTCGGACACCAACTTCCCATCTCAACCCCACCTTTTGAATTTTCACCCCTTTTTGCCACTTTTCAAATGTTGTGTAATCTATTTGATTCTCGGCGACAAATGAAATGGCCACGGAGAGCTTTAGTGAAGTATAATTCATTTTAAATCATTAAATTCACTAATTTTTTAGTCCGCTTGACTAATTAATATGTTACAATTAATTAAGGTTTTTAGTTGAGATAAAAAGAACGAAGATCGTGGGTTCGAATCCCGCTCGTGCCATTGACTTTTTTATCTCAACTAAAAACCATAATTAATTATAATTACTTTACAAAGTTAAAATATGTGGCAATCTAAACATAATTCACTGATGACTTGTGTCGAACTAAATTACTATCCTTAGCTTTTTAAAAAAATTTTCCACAACATTTTCAGAAAAGGTCCATTATAGCCCCTTTGTTTTATAATATAAATATACATTCAAATTTCTAGTTTGGGGTTTATTATTAACATTATTTCCTCATTTTTTAAAAAGAATATTCATAAATTGTAATTTACTGTTTAGGTTCGTCCAAGGAATATTTTACCATTTTTGCAAAAAAATGAATTGCTGTACGTTAAACGGCAATGTAGCCCTTCAGCAGTTTATTTTCAATCAAGAAATTATTGTAAAAAAAAGGATGGTGGTAGCGAAGATGGAGATGGTAAACCGCCACCTCATCCGCCACTTTCTTCATACGATAATGAGGATGGAAAAGATCACACTCAGACAACTTTACCGGCTTCAGTCGTCGTACCAGAGGTCTGGCCGCAAGTGCCTCTCATTGCCATCAACAGGAACCCAGTATTTCCCAGGTTCATCAAACTTATTGAGGTAAATTATACTTCTCTCATATTTTCTATTTTATTCATTCGTATTAATTATGAAATTTTGGAGGTAAATAAATAGTCATAACATATAAATTTCAAAATCAATTATGTTTTATTTTAATTGTTTATTAGCAAATGATAAGGATTTTTTTTTTTATTGAAAGAGGTTTTTCACCAAGTTTGAATTTAATGTGTGGTGATTAGTGACCATTATTCAATAATTATTCAGATATCGTGAGATGCGGTCTGGTGTGATGTAGGTTTCAGAAAAACATTTTCTTTATCGTGCCAACGTTTCGATCTTTATTGAGATCATCTTCAGGGCCTGGGATTTACAAACATTGTTTAAATTTAACAAATACATGTAGAATGTGGAAAAAGTGAATTTATACAATGCAAAAACATATATTTTTTGTATTCAATCAAATTATTTCTACTCACTCAAAGTGTTTGTTTTCTGCGTAAGTGCCATTCTTGTGTGTCGTATTGAGAGTGCCAGTGAGATATTGCTGTTTTATGTTTATATATGTTGGATTTTGAAGGGGTGGGGAAGAAAGTCGGTATAGAAAGACATTTTTGTATAAGGAGTCGACGTCTTTGAGGTGAAAACTCCTAATTATGAATTTAATTTTAGATAACACATCCAGATTTAATAGAACTGATAAGAAGAAAAGTACGGCTGAATCAACCGTATGCTGGTATTTTCTTAAAAAAGAATGAAGAGTAAGTTGAGGAAGAATGTTCAATTCAAATCATCATATTAATTTGTTTCCTTTTAAGGAATGAAAAACAGGCCATTACTAATATCGATGAGGTGTATAAAGTTGGAACGTTTGCACAAATACACGAAATGCAGGATTTGGGCGATCGCCTGCGCTTGGTTGTCATGTCGCATAGAAGGATTCGTTTATTAGCACCAATTTTCGAAGAAATTGAACAAACCGGTAAGAATAGCACTTAACAACAATAATATCACTTTTTTTTGTTTATATGTATATATTGAAATTTATGTATTAATATTTCTTAAGAAAATGTTACAGAATCTAGAAGAAAAAGGACTGCAAGAAAACTCAAGGAGCTTGGCCTTAATACAGACAAAGCCAAACAGGAAGAGCCTGATCAAGAATCTAGAACGAGCACTAAATCGCAGACAATACTCATGGTTGAAGTTGAAAATGTACAGCATGAAAAATTTAAAACAACCGAGGAAATTAAAGTATAAATATTAAAGTTCATTGTATGAAAAATATCTTTGATTAAATATTTATTTTTTATTGTTTTTTTCTATTAGGCATTGACTCAAGAAGTCATCAAAACAATTAAGGATATAATTAGCCTAAATCCATTGTATAGAGACACTTTGCAGCAGATGTTACACCAAGGGCAGAGAGTAGTCGATAATCCTGTTTATTTATCAGACCTAGGTGCTGCTCTTACTGGAGCTGAACCTGCTGAACTTCAAGCTGTTTTGGAGGAAGTAGATGTATGATTACTTTTATTTTATTATTATTTTGATGAATTGTAACGTTAATATTTAACAAATTGCTAAAGTCTGGTCAAATTGGTTGCTAAGTGTTGCAGTATTGGTGATTGAATTTTAAGTTACGAGTTAATAAATTAATTTTACATGATTTTTTGCCAGGTGCCCAAAAGACTGATGCTTTCTTTAGCCCTTCTAAAAAAAGAATTAGAGTTAAGCCGCCTTCAACAGAAAATTGGCAGAGAAGTCGAAGAAAAAGTAAAACAGCAACACAGGAAGTATATACTTCACGAACAGCTGAAAGTAATTAAAAAAGAACTCGGCCTGGAGAAAGATGACAAAGATGCAATTGAAGAAAAGTTCAGGGAAAGAATCAAGGTGGAAAAAGAAATCTGTAATGTTATTATTTGAAATGTAAAATAACTTTTTTTAGGATAAAAATGTACCAAAAAATGTCATGGAAGTGTTGAATGAAGAACTTAATAAATTGGGATTTTTAGAAAGTCATTCTTCAGAATTTAAGTATGTTTAACACTTATGAAAATTTGTTTGTCCAAGTGTTCAGCATGTTTGGCTATTTTGATAATTATGAGTGTGCTTCTTTTTTTAGTGTGACACGGAATTATTTAGATTGGTTGACCTCGCTTCCCTGGGGTTTGACGAGTTCTGAAAATTTAGATTTGTGTCAGGCTGTTAAAATATTGGATGAGGATCATTATGGAATGGATGATGTGAAAAAAAGAGTTCTGGGTACTACATTATTCCTTAATTATAACATATTTTTAATTTTTTTAATGTTAAAATTGCAAATTACTTTTAAGAATTCATTGCTGTAAGCCAGTTAAAAGGCAGTACACAAGGCAAAATATTATGTTTCTATGGCCCACCTGGTGTTGGCAAGACTAGCATAGCAAAGTCGATAGCAAGAGCTCTTAACAGAGAGGTAATAATTTCTTCAGTTTTCCTTTATTAATTTAAAAATATATATTAAACAATGTTTTATAGTATTTCAGATTCAGTGTAGGTGGCATGACTGATGTCGCGGAAATCAAGGGACATAGAAGGACCTACGTTGGAGCAATGCCTGGTAAAGTAATTCAATGCTTGAAGAAAACAAAAACTGAAAATCCTCTAATTCTTATTGATGAAGTTGATAAGATAGGAAAGTAAGTTTTCATTTTATTTAAAAAATTAACTTTCAGATAAATAAATGTGTATTTTATTAGGGGATTTCAAGGTGATCCGGCATCAGCTTTGTTAGAAATGTTGGATCCTGAACAAAATGCAAACTTCCTTGATCATTATTTAGACGTACCGGTCGATTTGTCAAAGGTACTCATGCAGGAATTTTTGATTAAAGATTATGTTTTCTAATTTTAATTTGTACAAAATATTTTAGGTACTTTTTATATGTACAGCAAATGTGACTGATACAATTCCAGAACCGCTACGTGATAGAATGGAAATGATTGATGTGTCTGGGTACATAGCGGAAGAAAAATTGGCAATCGCTAAACAGTACCTTTTGCCACAAGCAATGAGGGAATCAGGACTTTCTAAAGAACAGGTTTAAATCAGTAATGTTCTTTTGAAATTCGAATTCAATACTTTATCAATTCTCTAATTTTTTTTATATATTGTAGATTAATTTAGAAGATGATGCTTTAAACCAAATCATTAAGTTTTACTGTAGGGAAAGTGGTGTCAGAAATTTGCAAAAACACATAGAAAAGGTAAGTTAGAATCATAGTAGTTTTAACTTGCATGGTCAAAGGTTAACATAAGTCGCTGGTAACACCAGTGCGTCTGTCTATTCAGTACAGTACATAATTATGTACAATTTTACACAATGAGTGTTTTAAAAAAGGAGATAAAATTATCTCATTTAAAACACAATTTCTTTGCTTAATTTTTTCTAACTGAACATTTTAAATAACAAGCCTGAAAATTTATCTCTTAAACTGTCTATATATAAATTAATTTAAATTGTAAACATATTGCAAAGAAAAATGTTAATAAATTAATTTTCTATTGCATTAGCAATTAGTTGCTTTCAGGAGTTAATAAATGTTAATTGTACATAAAAAATCAAGGATAAGGCAAAGTTGAGAGAAAGAAAAATACTTAATTCCTTCGTCAAGCTTTCAACGATCACTTCATCAGGACTATGAAATTATTTCTAGTGATTCAAATGGTTAATAATTATAAATATTTACTTACAATATTAAAAATTAAGGCTTCAATTAGAATGAATTTATGAGTTTTAGTTTGTGTCTTTTTTTTCTTCCAAATTCATCTTATCCCTGATTTTTTTATGTACAATTATAATAAATGTTAATCTTATAATAAATATTAAATATTAATTTCACTAATTTCATGATCCGCTTGACCAATTAAATCATTACAATTAATTAAGGTTTTTAGTTGAGATGAAAAAAAGTCAATGGCACGAGTGGGATTCGAACCCACGATCTTCGGCTAGATACGCCAGATCTTCAATACCACTTGAGCTATCGTGACCTCGATCCACTCAGACATCAACTTCCTATCTCAACCCCATCTTATGAGTTTTCCCTCCTTTTTGCCATTTTTCAAATATCGTGTAATCATAATTTTTCATCTCAACTAAAAACCTTAATTAATTGTAATGATTTAATTGGTCAAGCGGACCACGAAATTAGTGAATTTAATGAATTAATATGAAGTATACTTCACTAAAGCTCTCCGTGGCCATTTCAATTGTCGTCGAGAATCCAAACCGATTACACAAAATATATGAAAAAAAATGTCCGAGTGGATCGAGGTCACGATAGCTCAAGTGGTAGAGGAGCGGCATATCTAGCCGAAGATCGTGGGTTCGAATCCTGCTCGTGCCATTGACTTTTTTTCATCTCAACTAAAAACCTTAATTAATTGTAATTAAATATTAATAATAAATATTAAAATATAATAAATAATATTAAGCTTATCTCATCAAGGAGTAAATAATGTTATTATTTAATATTGACTATTTAAATCAATTGTACTTTCCAAGAAGATTGTTTTCTCAAAAATTAAAGTTACGTTGTTATAATAGAGATATAATGTTTTTTAAATGTATTTTAGGTTGCTAGAAAAGTTGCTTTTAAAGTGGTAAAAAAAGAATCAGAGAAGATAGTAGTAACAAAAGACAATTTGGAGGAGTTCGTTGGAAAGCCGATGTTTTCTCATGCTAGAATGTACGAAATAATGCCAGTTGGTGTTGTTATGGGACTTGCATGGACGGCCATGGGTGGCTCCACTTTTTACATAGAAACGGCGCTAAGTAAATTGCCAACATTCGACAAGGACAAACCTGAACATAAATCTGATGGGTCGCTTGAACTGACTGGCCATTTAGGAGATGTTATGAAAGAATCGGCAAGAATCGCTCTTACTGTCGCCAAAAATTACTTGCTTCAAGTAGACCCAACAAACAGGTTCCTACTGACAAATCATATCCACTTGCACATACCTGAGGTAAGTTCTTTTAAACATCAATTATCATATCATGTATATATTGTGCTGCAGCTGAAACCCGTTTATCCGGACCCTGATTTCGGACTTCTGGATTATCCAGTCCTGTTTGTTAAAATAATTTTTATAAATTTTTCATAATTCTCAATGTATGTATATAAATAAAAATTTAAAAAAAGGTGTATCCTATTTTAAAAGACTAGAAATTGCTGTGTTGTGTTGTTGTTATGTTGGCTTCTATTGAAAAGTTTTTTTTTTTATGTATATTTTTATTAGGTATTTTTTACCTATAAATTTTTTGCAAAACACATGTCTGGCCTTTAAACAAAAGTCAATAAAGACTTACCTATACAAACAAAAATTTCTAGAAATTCTAGCGAACCTTCCGCATGCTACCTTAGCATTTACTGATGGGTCGAAAAGCTCAAATGGAGTAGGAGCTGCTTTTACACCCAATGATAGGAAATATCTTTTCTCTCTTTCTCCAGTGTGCAGCAATTTTAGTGCTGAGCTAGTGGCAATACATAAATGTATACATATAATCTGCCCAACAAGTAAAATATTATTAATACGTTCTGACTCGCTCTCTGCCTTGTCAGCATTGAATGATCCCTTTACACATAACCATCTCAAATATTTAAGGCATTAAAACATCTTTCTCAGAGAGGCATTGGGGTTGTTTTTTGTGGGTTCCTGGTCACAGCGGCATTGCTGGAAATGAGATTGCGGATAGGGCAGCCTGAGAGGCAGCCATTTCAGGGCAGTTAGTAAGAGAAGTTCCAGGCAACGATTATATTTCAAATATAAAATTAGAAATCTGGTATAGATGGGAAAAAGACTGGCACGATGTTGGGGAAAATAAGCTTAGAGAAATAAAACTAACAGTTAAACCTTGGCCGAGTTCAATCAGGACTAACCGTAGGGAAGAGGTGATTCTCACAAGATTACGAATTGGCCACTGTAGGATTACTAAGAATCATCTAATGGCTAGAGAACCACCCCCTGTCTGTCCTTGTTGCAATGAGATTATTACAACAAAACACATTCTTCTGCACTGGCCAATCTACTCAGCCTACAGACACCACATCTCTTATCCGCAAACCCTCTATAATATACTAAAAGACGATCCGGATACCATAGATCAACTTTTCCAATATCTTAAGACTGCTGATTTAATGAACAGGATATAAATTAGTGTGGCCTTTGCCGTTTGTGTGGGCGGGGGGGGGCCTTGTTCCCTAGGGATGGGGGCCGGTGGTCGGGCGCGGCGGAGGGTCGAGCGCTTTGCATATTGGTAAAAAAGAATACCCCGGCTCTTGAGGGATGTGAATGTTCACAGCCCATGCACATCCTTTCTGAAGAGCCGAAACAACATAATTCAGCTTCAGCGATAACATCACGATGTTTATATAGTGCTCGTCCCTCTGCAATGCGGCTGGCCCTCGGGCCTTCTCCTCTCTGGGGCCGTGGCCCCTCCGGTTCGCGCGGTGGGGAGGCTGCATTGGTGGATGCTTTAAGGCAGCTATGACCCTTAGTGGTTTTATGCCTTTTAAAAATTAAAAAAAAAAAAGAACTGGAAAACATTTACTCAATATAGATAACAGTAACATCAACATTAATTAAGATAAAAACAAAATTTGTCAACCGTAAAAAAACATATTAACTATGTACAAAAATAATTGTAAGAAAAAAAAAACTGTAAATAGTATTATGTACAATAAGTGGGGAACCTACCAAGTTTATGAGTGTCACCAAATAAACCAAGGTAGGTGCTCGGAACAATACACTGATTAATAATAAATTAAATATAAATATTTCAACCTACACTAATTTGTAATTTTAGAAAGTAACACTGAAGAGGGGAGGCGGAAGTCCTTGAAATCGATTTCATAAAACTAAAAACATTTTTTTAAAAAAGAAATACGAAAACGAACTAAAAGCGAGAAAAACCATACAATACCAACACGAAAAATACAATAATAATAAAACCTACACTGAATGGATCAAATTCACATACATAGGTTAAGAAACGAAGAAACTAACGAATGTTTTAACAAATTAGATATTCTTACATAACAAAATCTTAAAAATGCAAAGCCAAAATATTGACAAAACCGACACATGACAAAAATAGCATAAAGGGGAGGGGGGGGTATTGCTGTTCACTTAACTTCTAAACATTTGCTATATGTCCCATGGTTCAGACAGAAATTTGTAAATGCAATTATCTAGTTTTAGTTGCTACAATCAGGATTTTTTCAATTGTAAACATACAAATAAAATTGTAAAACAATTGGGTTGACTGGGATTATCCTGTCGACAACACCCCGCTCTCTCCTGGGCCATAGGTAGGGTGAAATATAAAAGCCAGATAGAAAAATATATAAGATTTGGATGTACAGTTCCATCACGAACTATCACAAAACGGACCAGCATGAAACCACTCAACGACATACAAAAAGAACAAAAAATGGAGAATGAACTTGAAAACTGGGAAATACACGAACATAACAGATTTAAAACTAAATTTGACATATATCTTTTACACCAATTAAAACACAGTGCCAATTAAAAAGAAAAAGGACCGCCGATCATAAAGACCGGGAAAATAAAAACAAATTTAATCCAACAAAGAAACCACGACTATATAGACTCGACGACACAAAAAATCACACAAACACAGAGACCGAAATGCGAAAAACACAGCAAGGAAGGCCGACCTGGATAATCAGTAACGACGAAATTACAGATTATTCTCTTGCAGACCAAAAAGGTAAAATTGACAAGGTATATGTTAAAAATTGAATTTCTAAGATGGAGACGGAAAGCATGCCTAAGTACACCTAATGCAAACGTTCAAAATCGATAGTTAATCAGTTCCGAACATTTATATTCATTCATAAGAAAGATAAAACGAAGAGGAACCATGAGAAAATAAAACATAACTCGACCTAGAGACGGTATACAATATTTTTTCATAATTATTTTTTAAAAATGGCTAAGTCTAAGCGAATCTGTAAAATACTAAATCATTTCTACGATTAATTTTTCATTGTGTTTTATTTTATCCTTTTCAATTAAACAAAATACCCGTTAAGTCCACGACTCTGGGATGAGAAAGAATTCTGCTCAGAATCGGGCACCTCTTCTCGGGGAATAAAAAACAGAGTTGAAAGTTTAAGTGGCATGCGGTTGGGACACATTGCAACTTGAGGGTGTCAACCTAGCCTTAAAGGGATCTTGGGGCGGCGAAAGGGAAAAACCACATGACAGGATGATGCACGTCATCATAAGTACTGTCACTTGGCAATACATTCGAAAAATCTCTAACAAAATATCATCTGAATTGTTAAAAACAGTAAACTTAGATGAAATTTCTTCATGAACTACTAGTCAATGGGTAAAAATATAGAGTTTTTACTTTATAATTAAAGAAATCATAAGTTACGATGTTAACGTTTAAGGAATAAAGTACAAATAAAATAGAAAGAGAGAAAGTTTTACTTGCTGCTATGCTAAAGTAAAATTCAGCCGGGTCTTACGATAATATGATTGACAATTTCATTAACTACTTTCTTATTTTAACAAAGATCTCTACAAAGGTAAAGATAGGTACGATTCCGAGGTAAAAATACCAACTGACTTAAAAGGAGAAAACTAATCAAGCAGCAGCGGGAAATAAACATAAACTGTGAGGCGGTAAGGTGTTATAATTAGTGAGGTTGTGTCCTCAAGTCAGAGTAACAAGTGAGAGGTGGAAGCGGGGGTCGGGATCATTAAACAGGACTTAGGGTTTGTTTGATTAAACAGAGCTCCCCGCCTCCTCTCAGACCTCCTCGTTTCCCAACTCTCCTGGCTTATTGATTCACCCTGTTTGACACTTGCCTCTTACCCACCTACAGCCCTACAATAGTTTATCACTTCTTACAAACCAATTAGCGCTTCCGTTCTCAACTTCTACCAGGGGGGAAGGACTGACAAATCAATGGGCTGTGAACATTATCGACCGGATTCCGAGGATTTGAACGGCGATGTAGTCAGTTGAAAATTTATTGCGTCGTACGTCTGCCTATACAGGGTGTACTTTTTAGATGGCCCGGCAGAATCTCTGGAACCAATGACGCTGCTATCAAAAAACAAAAAATATGTGTATATATTCTTTAGTCTAGTTTCAAATTTTACCTTTGTTTGGAGAAAAATTATACATGTACCACCCCCTCAGGCCCAGTTCAACTTCAAAATTTCAAATACGACCATATACATCCTGATATTTATTTTAAATTAATTTAAACTTTTACTCTGGACCAAATCGGATTTTAAACTGGTCAAAAAATGACAAAGTTATGGTAATAAGTTCGAAAAAACAACAACGACCCAAAAAATTGTCCAAAATTGGTGTTTTATTTTAAATTTTGTGCTTTAATTTTTTGACTACTTTCAAATCCGATTTGATCCAGCGTAAAAAATAATTTAAATTATGTCAGGGTAGCATTTGAAATTTTGAAGAGGAACTGGGGCTGAGGATATATAATTATATAATTTTTTCTCTGTAATTTTTGTCCAAAACAAATATTATGCACTTATATTTTTGATGGCAGCGTCGTTATTTCAAGAGAAATTCTGCCGGGGGGCATCTAAAAAGGACACCATGTATAAAGAAATCTGGCGTCAGCATTTCTTATATTTCCAAAGGCAGCAAATGAAAGGAACAGAAAAAATTTTTACTTCATTTATTTTTATCTACAACTAATTGTACATGTATTATTTACAAGCAATCGATTGTTTTCCAATTTATGATTATGCCATTACGGGCGTTAAAACTACCCATTGGCAGCCACTCTAGATTAATAAAATGATATTAATCATTTAAGAGGTCTCTAATCCATATTCTTTTCAGTCACTTACGTGGAATGGAGTAATCGTGTTAGTGTGATTTTGTAATTAATTAGTAATAATGAAAACGTCTGTAATATATTTTAATGGATGTAACAATGGATGTAAAACTGTTGGCACGTGAAGATCTATGTGAAGTGTGTAACTGTTTAAGTACAAAGGGGCAGAAACAATTATTTTAAAAATTTTGATGTGTGTGGTGTTTATTGACCGATAATTAATGATTATTTGAGATCGTGAGATACCGTCTGTTGTGACGTAGG